TTTATATATATGCACTATGGCATGACAATGTGATACTCATGTATCTAGGAAATGAAAACACTGGCTAGCAAACTCTTTCTAGAATACTAGACTAGGCTATCATATATATGCTACATACTCTGTCTCTTCCAGGACAAGTAATGTATTTTGAAAGCATTTAGGAAATCTTTTAAACCTTTTTAATAGTATTATTTTTGGGACATGTCCATACATAAGGCAAGATTCCCTCAGTACAAGAAATCCAACTGTATGAGTCTGGAGGGGAATATTATACTTTACAGATTGTAAGAAACATATATAAGACAAAACAAACAAAACAAATCCAAACAAAAATCAAATCCCCACCAGAAACAATGTTAGTTTTCCACCCTATAGCAAAGGCTTTGCCATCAGCAAAAGGGAGAGCTAAATTTTTCAGATTTAGGTGTTGAAGATAAGATACCTATCATTCAAGTATTTTTGAGCTCTTGGAAAAGCTTTCATAAAAATGCAAAGCTTTCACCTCTAGTCCTGATAGGTTACTGATAGGTTATACTTATTGCACAGATTGCAATAAGAAAAGAGTTACTGGTTCCAAATTCCTTCTCCCCATCCTATATCTTGGATCAATGTAATTTACAGCAAGAAAAATCACATATTTTACAGTGTGAAGAGAGGAAATGCATTTTTAAAAGCTTATTTTAAAAGAAACTAAAGAAAATGGCAGCTGTTTAAATCTCAAAAATGGCAGCTGTTTGATGCTCTGGAGAGATTTTAAAATGCCAGAAGTGATCCCAGTGGAGACTGATCGGATATCTCTAAGCTGGACTGTGAACACTCTGCAACTTCCTCATTCTCAGTGGTACTTGGCTCTGCAAAAAAGTCCACTTATTATAATGGAGATGTAACTAAGCCCTCGTAATGCTGGCAAAAACCTGTGCAATGACTAACACAATGAGACAGTAGTTTGTGGAGAGAACTTGTAGATGTTATTGTAATAGAAATAAAAACAATGAGTTGTATGAGTAATAAATATATACAAACAGACCAAGGAGGCAAAAGAAGTAAATCACTGGCCAAAGTTGAAGCAAGGTTCCTTAGATGGGGGCATTGCTATCTGCAATTGAATGAATGTGTGTTTAAAATATTTTACACATTTTTTAGCTAGTATTTGCTTTCCTGAAAAAGTTAACTTTTTTTTCTTTACACTTTGGCTGCATTTTTTTTTAGATATACACATAACAATGCTTATGCCTGTGCAGAAAAATATGCAATTTGAAATCTTCACTCACAACTACTATTTCTGAAGCATGCCCCATTGATTCATGACTGCTTGAGCTTTCCTGGTGTCCTTCAGCTAATGATCAGCCCTGATTATTAAGAAGATGAGAGCTTGAAAGTGCAGACCTAAGCAGTTCAAAACACTTTGCTGAAGGTTGGTTGGTTGGAATAGAAGTTGGTTATATGCTGAAAGGGCTCAGGTTTTGTTTCACACCTAAGTGCTGGTGTGCTAAGTGGTGGTCCAGGTTAGTATTTGTGATGATTTTTGTCAGCCAAACACTAACAAATGACCCTTGGGTTGACTTCTAAAATCAAGAAAAGTCATTCTGGTTATGGCATTTCAATTTTTGTGTTTTGCTATAGCCATGAGGCCACAACTATTGGACTTACCCATGCACACTTTTTTGATAAATTCACTGTTCAATGTGATCATGGTGGATAAATCCTCAAAATTCTGAAGCTTCATGATTCTGTTAGCAGCAGATGGCCCAGCCAAAGTCCTTAGTTGCTCCTCATCATAGCTGGTCCCAACACCAATTGGAAACAGGGATACCCCTAGGAAAAGGGAAGCAAAGGTTTTAAATAGGCAACACACAGGAGAAGGAGATCTTTGCTCCTGAAGTGGTGGAGTCATCCTCCCTGGAAGTATTTAAAAGGTGTGTAGATGTGGCATTTGGGGACATGGTTTAATGGTGGACTTGGCAGTGCTGGGTTGGCAGTTGGACTCGAGGATTTTCTTTTCCATCCTAAATGATTCTCTCACTTTTTTTTCATTTGCGTCTTCAAAAAAAAAAAAAAAAAAGGAATGGGGAAAAGTTTTCCTCCAATGGTTAATTTTCAAGTATGACTTTCATCATTCCCTGCACACAGGCTAAAGGCAGCTAAGGGCTGAAATGGTGATGCTCTAATCACAGTGTTAGCTAAGATGATCTCTATTATTTCCAAGCATAATAAGATCATGGATGGTCAACAAAACACAGCTGCAGACTTAATGACATCTTCACTTTTTTGGGGAATGTAAAAAATCTCAATATATTGTTTTCTTTCTTCAGTCATGGCAATTGGATTATTTTCAAACCATTTAATTAAAAAAAATAACAGTTGATAGTTGTAATTTAGGCCATGCCTTATGCAATAACTCCCAAAGCAACCTATAAATGAAGTCAAACTTCCTCAGCTGAACACCTGAGGAAGCTGAGGTATGGAAACCACAGCCAGAGAACTTGAAAAATCATCATGCAGCACACATTGATAGCAAACATTATATTCCTGTAGAGGTCAGTGCAGAATCTGATCAAATCCTCTATTTATTTTTTATCATTACTATTAGAGTGAAACTTTCAAGATTCACTGTACTGCAACACTATTGGATTTATTATATTTGATCACATTTCTGTCATTCCTGTCTATCCACAGGACCTTGGAAAATGAAATGCCACTAATTTGTGAAGCCTGTGGAAGCTGTTCAGCCTAAATTGCAGATTGGTCCTGAATTTATAGGAAACTCCAAGGCATCTTCATCAGGCATATTTTCTTCAGGTCTGTTCTTACCAGAACATTATGCACATTAAGTCCAGACCTAACATGAACATTCCAATGTCTGAATTTTTCAGCTTTTATTCTAGTTCACTGCTTAAAAAGCAACAATTGTACTTAAAAATAGTGACAGCAGAATGAGATTTACTGTTCATTCTTGCAGAAAGTGCAGCAGCCTCCACAGTGTCTTCTGATCTCCCCGACACAATGACTATCACAACTTTTGATGCGTTGGGTCGTCCTCCATGGGATTCTGCCATTGCATTCTGGACCACAAACTCAATGGCATTTCCTAAGAAGAAAGGAAGAGATTCAAAACAGTTATCATAGCAAACTCATAGGAGACTATAAAACTAACTTTTACTCATTTGTATGTATATTAGCAGGCACTGAAAAATTCTTGAAGGACTCTTATTTTCTGCTTCTTCGCTGCTACATGAATCATCTCGGCTATTTAGGACCTACTAGTCCTATTAACACATCCCAACACAGGAGGACTATCCTTAGCTCCCCAGTCTCTGAAGTAATGGAAACTTTACTACCTTTCCTTAGCTACACAAATAAAGTTGCACTCCTGACTTTAGTGTAATACAATGGCAATACTTCTGGAAGAGGTAACTAGCAAAGGAAACAACATATTGTAAAGAATATGTTATTTCCCTATTGCCGAACAAGAGTGACATCCAGTGGCGATCTGACACACATCACCACGTCATCCTGAGCTGTACACACAAGTTGCTCTCACTCCCAGCAAAGATCGAGTGCTTCCCTAATTTGGACAACCTTTTCTATGGGTGTGAAAAGCGTATCTTGCCTCCCCACCACCAGCAACCTCTTTGAAATCTAAACTCAGAGTAACCCATAATATAACTGGGTGATCCATGCTAAAAAGAAACACAAAACAAAACACCAAACCACAGAAAACATGCAAAGAAATTCTACCTTAGTTACCAAATCACAAACTGGCTTAAATGGGAAGCTGCTGCCCTTCCATTTAACATCTGTGAACACTCAGGAAAATTTTTGTTGAAAATCATGACCTCAGCAAGAGAGCACTTTGTTAGTACTTGCATTTAGACATGTATTTGCACAAATATTTATACTGGGAATCATGATATGCAGCTTTTTTAAAAGCTCCTTTGGGCTTGGAAGTTATCAGGTCAGGAAGCAGAAATGATACTGGGTGACTGATGTGACATTCAGGGCAAACAGTGACTGGTGAATAATAAACACTTGAAAGAACAGTTCCTCTGAGTAATCTGTGGTAACTGTGGAGTAGAAATACATTTGCCTGAGGAATTCACTGAACAATTTATAACAGATGCATTTGTAAGACACGGGAAGGCAGACCGTAAATAATTCACCAGGACACCCCCAGAATACCTTAGCACACCTCAATGCTTTGTACTTTATGTCTTCTTGCATCATGCCACCCACCCCTTCTCACCCATAGAAGCAAAGATCCTTCTCCCAAGTTGCTGAAGCATGGACAACCTCTAGGAATCTCATTCTGCACATTGACTATTGATAAGGATGACAGACATGGAGTTGTTCACCCTGAGAAAAGAAGACTTCAAGGATACCTTACTGCAGCCTTACAGTACTTGAAGGGGCTTATAAAAAAGAGGGAGAGGGACTTTTTACACAAGCAGTGATAGGACAAGGGAGAATGGTATTAAACTAAAAGAAGATTTAGATCTGATGTAAGGAAGAAATTTTTTACTCAGAGGGTAGTGAGGCACTGGCACAGGTTGCCCAGAGTAGCTGTGGCTGCTCCATCCCTGGCAGTGTTCAAGACCAGGTTGGATGGGGCTCTGAGCAACTTGGTCTAGTGGAAGGTGTCCTTGCCCATGGCAGGGGGGTTGGAATTAGATGATCTTTGAGGTCCCTTCCAACCCAAACCATCCTGTGATTCTATGATAATATGGCAACAGCAGTTGGATATTCTGCAAAGTTTTAGTAAGTTTCAAGAAGAATCTACCCCTCAGAAGAATCTAGTCTAGAATAGATATCTGGAAAAAAAAGCCCAAATTTTTCCTTTGCTTCAGCACTGGTTTGAAGGTGATGTTCCCTTCTCAAATACTGTTGCTTTCTCCACTCTTCCCTGTTGTGTCATACACCATACAGTCCCTGACTGACAGCCTCATATGCCCTTTCCAACTTATCCAGCCACTTCTTCTCCATTACCCCATAATCACTATTTCCTCCACAGACCCTTAGCTTCATGCTCATGTGTCATGTCTCAGCATACACCCACAACTAATGAGAAGAGCTAGGACCAACCAGGAACTGCTGCCAGGCCCTGTCAGACCTACATCAGGAACAGGCTCCACATCAATTTCTCCCTCCATAAGCTCCCACCTATTTTACCACTACCTCCACTATCAATCTCCTCTCTAGGGAGGGTCATGCATTTTCCCAAGTCCTAGTTTTCAAAGAGAAAGATGTTCATTTAAATCAAAATCAACAGGAAGCTTTCAAGAGTATTTAAAAACAACACAGGGCATTTCTCTTCTGCTTCTTGCTATGCTATCTAGTCCTTCCATCTGTGTAGATTCATTTCATTCCTAGAGTTTGACTTTCATTCCCACTATAATTCTGAATTATATTTTACATATGAAATGTGAGTTTTCAGTTTCTATTCACTGCAAAATTTTGAATGTTTTTCTACTTGCTACAAAACATTTTTAAACATCATTATTAGTCAGGTGACAGTGATTCCATCTCACAAACTACTATTCCTGAACATGAAAATTAACTCATGTCCTATCCAGCTGTCTCACAATCCTTGCTACAAATGGTTTTGTGTCTGTAGAGGTAGATGTTAGATGCAGAATGGCACATTAGCTATAAATAACTAAGAATGAAACAAAATACAGAAAATTAATATGACTATATTCCAAATCCCTGAGATTGCTCCAGGATGGTCACTGTGCCAGAAGATTTACTTATTTCCCTTCTGCCCTATAAATAATTACCAAAAAAAGGTATTTCAGGTTTTAACTTTCAAATATTGTAGGTTAAACTTCTGCACAGTAAGAATCATAAATGATCTTCCATTCATTTGTGAAAAGTACTTGAAATTTCTGTGTTTGTCTTTTTTTTTAATGACCCTTCAACTTTTGTGTGGTTGCTCATCAGCTGCTCCAGCTCCCTTTTTCTTTCTCATATTAATTTTGAAATTTTTTAGAATTTTCCATATATGTTTGTAAACTGGAAAATCCATTATTTTTATAATTTGTCATAAAGAAATCAGGTACTATTATAATAGAACCAGTGACTATTTCAAAGTTTCCCAAAACAGTTACTCAGTTTAATGCATGGAAAATTTGCTTTAGTGTACTAAAAACTGTTTGGATTTCTCCCCTTATTTTGAAGCCAGCTCTAGAGAAAAGAGCCAGGTGTCTGAAGATATGATCAAATGAACACTTTTGTCCTGCTAGAGGGATTCAGAAAGTCCCTATCCCAAGCTGGAAGCTGTCACTTCTCAGCTGTTCATCTCTACATCTCATCACGAAGGGAAATACTAAATCCCTCAGAGGCCACAATAAAAACTATTCACTGCTAACAAATGAATGAATTTGAACATTTTCTTCCTAGGAAACTGCAACACAACAGTAATCTGACATTTTCATACCAATAAAGAAAATTTAGAATGTTTACACTGAAATAAACAACACCAAGCACAAGGCTATATTAAGACAGGAAAGAGTATTCACAGCATAGAAATGTAGAAAGAATTATGTAGTAGCTTTGGTTGGAAGGGACCTTAAAGACCAGCTAATTCCAATCCTCCTGCTATGGGCAGGGACACCTTCCACCAGACCAGGTTGTTCAGAGCTCCATCCAACCTGGCCTTGAACACTTGCAGGGACAGACCAGCCACAGCTTCTCTGGGTAACCTGTGCCAGTGCCTCAACACCCTACCTGTGCTGTGCCAGTGCCTCAACACCCTCACAGGGAAGCAGCTCCTTGAACATAATTAAACTAGATTTAAAATTACCAGATCTGAGTCTTTACAGGACCACTTTTTGTCTTGTATACCCCTTCAGCAGGTGACACCTGGACCACTGCTGCTGTCAGCTCCAGTCCAGCCTGCCCTGACATAGCAACATCTCACAAACACATCCCTGGCTGTCAGTGCCTCAACACCCTCACAGGGAAGCAGCTCCTTGAACATAATTAAACTAGATTTAAAATTACCAGATCTGAGTCTTTACAGGACCACTTTTTGTCTTGTATACCCCTTCAGCAGGTGACACCTGGACCACTGCTGCTGTCAGCTCCAGTCCAGCCTGCCCTGACATAGCAACATCTCACAAACACATCCCTGGCTGTGTTAGTGCCACAGCAAGATGCTGTGAGCTGCCTCAGGCAACTCACTGTGTCTGAACAAACACTTTTCTCAAAAAGTACATTGTTTTCAGCCATTTTGGCCTTTCCCTCAGCTCGCTGAAGGCTGAATACACAGGGAGCCTTGAGCAGTAGCTAGCTCTTACATCTGTTTAGGGACCACACCATCAGCTACTTACTTCAGTGATGGACTCTAGAGAAAACTGAAATGTCCATAGAAAATACCCAAAATCCTGCTCCAATAAACAACAAAACAAATTTTTTGCCTTTAAAGAGAATCCAGCAGTGACCAAAATATTATTTGTCAGCATTGACAAGCCCCAGTGAAGGGAACAGGAGGTTTGTTATGGGCTTTAAGGGCTGCCTATTTTTATGCATTTTATCTGTGTTTGCATGTGACCCTAAGTCCAGACTAGCAGCCAACATGTTCCCATATACTGAATATAGGAGTAAATTATGTTAGTATGATTTTTCCAAATGGTTTCTCTTTCTCACATACATTTTGCACTACCAAAAGAAAAAAAGGAAACAAATGGGCTTGGGAAACAAAATTATTTCTATACTCACAGGTATTTTAGGCATCAGACATGCAACCCATGAGAAATCAAGATGGAAGTCTCAAAGTCAAAAGCTTTCATTACATACAGGGGGACAACAGAACCAAGAGCAGCACAACACACACAATATCTGTTCCCAAAGGCAGTGGACATGATGGGGAATGTGTCTGGTCACCTGTCCCTGACTCTTACTGCCTCCTCATATGTTATATTTATGGTGACCCTGACAGGCATAATGGCCACAATTAATCTCACACATGCACACACATCCCCTTCCCAAATTTGAACATCTAGACATTTATCTGGATAACTGAACAAAAAGGCCTGGCTTGCACAAGCACAGACTCCTCAGCAGCCTTTCAGCTCAGTCAACAGGGCACGACTGTCAGTCATTGGGCAAGTCCAGGGAAAATATGCAAATAAATAAAAAGAGAAAACAAAACCTCAAATTATATATATGGGCTCCTTTAAAAAGGGTAGGTCAGTAATTCCAAAAGGTGCCAGCACAGCACAGCAGCTGGTCCCCATCTTCAGGTGCTGATACACTCCTGACTACACTGTAGAGTACAAAAAAAGCCATATTTGGAATAATCATCAGAGCAAAACCAACAGAAGATATCCTACAAGGCCAGGGGGGCACAATGGAGAAGGGATAGCATTACTGCATAAACCTCTCAGCTACAACTAGAAACTTTTGATGTTGAACTTCTGACAGACAGAAAAGGCTTTCTAAGAACCTTTTTTTGGTGTCTTGAACAAAACTATTTGATAAAGGCTAATTAGCTGAATAATTTTTTCCTAATTCTTTTTTAATCACTTGAAGGACATTTAAGCTGGACTTGTATTCTGAAGTAATAATTCAGAATGGTTCATGTGGAGGTTCCTGCAAGGACTGAAAGCTGATTAAATGGACATAAATAAGCTTTAAGGACAAAAGACAATCTGTTGAGTAGGGCTGGAGGTGTTTACTGGGAGTCTACAGGGAATTGGACTAGATTCTGCCTTATTGAATAGTTTCATTAATTATTTGGATGGGGAAGGAGAAATGTGTAAAAAAGCATGCTAATCTGAATCACAGATATTAAATTGGGAGCAATTATGAACATCATGGAATGAACTGAAAGAGCACAACATGCCCTAGAAACGTTTGAAATATGTCCAAGAAATAAAAAATAAGATTCATCCCAGAATAAGCCAATCTGGAACACACAGATATTTAATGGTTTGGTTGATGCCTCAGGGAAAGCAGAAACTTCCTAAGAGCAACTGTTGCAATTATTTTCTTTAATTTTGTCTGAAATGAGGAATGAAATGTAAAGCCCCCATGAGGGTCTGTGGAGTTGTGACAGACAGGGTATTCCAGCTAGACGGAGGTTCCTGCTGGGAACTTGTGAATCAGTGCCTTAAAGTGGCCTCAGTGGTTTTTCTAACATTTCTGCAACATCTTGACCAAAACAGAAAGAGTACTACAAGAGGTCTTAATCATCCACAAGTACTGAAAGCTCCCTGGGAAAAAAAACCAAGAAACAGTTGCTCAGAACTTGAAGTGATACAGAAGTCAACATTATTTGGATGGTGGATATTTCAGGTTGCACCTATTTAACCAAGGACTGGTCTAATCAGGAATAACTGCCCATGAACAGAATCACATAATGGTTTGGGTTGGAAAGGACCTTAAATGCTACCTAGTTCCAACCCTTCTGCCATGAGCAGGGACACCTTCCACTAGACCAGGCTGCCTGGAGCCCCATAACCTGGTCTTTATACCTTAATTTAGGAACTTGACTTGACACTGAGTTGGGATTTTGAACTGAAAATAGGAGATTATTTTAATTTTGCAACAAATGAACTATTGCAACTGATCCCACAAATCAGTTCTTTAAACAGACACTGATATTCTGGCATTAACATGTGTTGATTAACAGAATGGCTGAACTCTTCATGAGCAGCACAAATCTGTCAGTCCAACACCACCACCACCACCACCACCGAATGGAGCAGGCTACAAGGCCCCCAAACCTCTCCTCTGCTTTCCTGCCTCTGCAGGTCACAAATCCTGCATTTCTCTTACCAGATCTGATGATCTCTGGCTCCACCAGGAGCACATTTCGACTCTCAAACCTTGTAAGAAATGAACTACAGAAAACAAGCAAACCAACAGAAAAAAAATAAAACAACCCTGGAGGACAGTGAATTAAATTAGCTCAGGGAAGAGATGAGTGGGCACCCAAAGCTGTTTTCAGAAAGGCATTGGCACTACCAGTTCAGAAATATTAGCTGGGGGGTGAGTGAAGAAGAACTCTGTCTGTCAGTGGATGTGACCTCTTTTTTGATTAGGGCAGCTGCTGCCCAAACTATGACCTTGGGGAGAAATTTTGAAAATTCTGTACAGACTGCACCACTTGGGCAGAGACCTGAACAAGGAAAAGGGCTATGGTGGGGCCTTTGCTTCCTAAACCACAGAGGAGGTTTGGAAGAAAGACATTTATACCTTCTTAATCATGACAGCAAAGCTATATGCTGCTAATCAAACATACTAATAATGATGGAATGCTGCAGGAAAAATATTTAAGCTTGCTTTTTCCTTAGGAGGGGGAGCAGACCAAACACACGTTTCTTACCCTAATGATGCTTTTAATACAGCTGAGCCACACAGACCATACTTCCTTCAGATTTTGAATCTGAGGCAGGCAGTGGGCATGGAAAACGTCAGCCTAAATGAGTCACTTTTACTACAGCTATAAGCAAGCAAAATCATGTTTTTATAAAGTGTTAAGCAGTATTTACTGTAGGGATTGCTCAATGTGCTCCCTATGACTCTCCTAAACACCCACGAATGCTGAACAGAGGCATATTTATGTGATTCTCAGTTCTCTTGCACAGATCACTTTTTGAGCTGAATGAAGGCTTATACAGTCAGCTCTTCCTACAGTCAGTTTTCTCCTTTTTATTTTTTCCCAGTTGTTTCTTATGTGAAGTTGAACACAATTTCATGATGTCTGAATATCCCCAGAGCTGCTTCTCAATAGGTTACTTGAGCCAAAATTTGCCTGATGTTATTGCATGTCCCCATTGCATAAGCATGGGAAAACTATGTGGTATAGGCTGCTCTTTTTTGTTCTTCCTATGCCCTCAAATACTCTGTAGTTTTTCACCATTTCTTACTACTAAAATATCTCTCTCTCTCTCTGCTGGAGTTTCCTTATGGTTAAATGAAACACACAAGGGAATGCTTTCTGCTGTAAGACTTTTGCAGCAATAGCAACAGAGCCTACAGTTGCATACTGCACAGAGCTTTTTTGACCAAAATAACATGATTTGGAACAGCAAAGATGGAATAAAGACTGCACCAGATTGTGCTGCTACCATAGTGAAGCCAGCGCAAATGAGAAGAAATAGCACTGGTCTGATAGTAATGATATTTCTGATGGGTAAATCCTGATCAAGCATAGACTAGAAGAGATTTCCAAAGCTACCTAAGGTACTGCAACATCCAGACTGAGCCATTTACACTTCTCAAGCAGCCCCTGCATTTCCAGAGGCCTGAGCTCAGACACAAAGACCTGAACGACCATGCTTTTCCCAGGGACGGTGTCTCCTCCACAGCCAGCCGAATTCACACACATTACAAGGTGCAGGACAGGACCGCAGTGACTTATTTTCATTACTTCATTTGGGAGGAACTACTTCTGCTCTATTCCATTTTGGTTCATTATACCACATCCCTCATCATGGTCTCTAAGCATTTTCCAATGAGACATAAACAAATCACTAACGAGGATGTCATGTGGCTGCCTCTCCCATTTCATTTCCCAAAGGCCATGTTTGTTCTGTTTATCCTGCAGTTCCGTGTGGCTTTCTATACACATTACATGGAAGGCTTCATGAAACTTATCTATTTGTATGCAACAATTTATCCCACAACGAGCCTATAGAAGTCTCATCAGCCATCTGGTATTTTTATTTCTCCAGGCTGAGAAAGCAATCATAGCTAATCCTCCTGCGAACTATGGAAGTCAGTTTTTATTTCTCACTTTTCTGTACCAATAACTCTTTAGAGTCCGAGGTAGGCCAAAGACCCTAAAAATGTGTCTGTTCCTCAACTCTTATAGGACCCTAATGCTAGGAGGCTGCCAGAGCAAATGTGGTTCCAATCCAGAACAAAATTCTCAGGGTATCTGCTGAAAGATCAGAGACGCTGTAGGAGAATCATTTTTTGCTGAATCCTGCAACTGATCCATGTGTGTGCATTGAGTTTCCACAGCCCCGGTGGGAAATCTATGTGATGTTTTAGCACCTGAAAATTGAAGTGGGTGTGATTTTCAGGATGCAGTTGTCTGGAACAGAAGATGACATTTCACAAGTCACCTTCAGTTAAGGTGCCTCCTTAGGCAGTCCCTACTCCCTGGCACCATCCCCAGTCTTGTGACAGCCCAAGTCCTTGCAGAACCAGCATGGCAACTTGGATGAGGGGACTGAACCACACAGAATATAACAACTGCTTTGCTGTTCATCAGCCAGATGGGTTACACTGGCTTAGCACAAACATCTGGCAAGAGCAGCTACTCAACTCAGCATAAGCAGTCCTGCTGGTAAATGTCTAATCAACTAATCAACACTGAAGGGTTAATGATCAAAGTCTTTACTTCTTAATTATGTTTTGCTTGCTTGAAAGATAATGAATACAAATCCTGAGAATTACTTCAAGGCTTCTTTCCAAAATACATTAAGATAAACTACAATTTGAATAACCTATGAATTTATTTTAATAGAGAAAACTGAACCTTACCAAGAAACCTACATGTAGTAAAGATATGAGTGAATAAAACAAACTTAGAGTCCTACTCCAGAATGCTACCACAATAGTACTGACAAAAACTAGTGCTTGGGGCCAGGCTATCTTTAACACGTCTTGGGGTTTTATTTTCCCCTCTTGATTTAAACATCAGCATCCACATAATCACTCACCTAGTCTGGTAGGACCTTGCTCCCTTTGTTGAATGGATTGCACCACCTCTACAAGCCTTTGGGTCTCTTGAGGCATGTTCCATGAAATTTCTAGATTATTTTCCCTGGCATACTGGAGAACTGACACATGAACCGAAGTATTGCCTGAAGCAGAAAGCACAAAATAAAAACTTTAAGCAGTGCATATGAATGCCTTAAAATAAATCTAAAGGATACATTCTGGTTGTGATTTACATCAAGCACAACTAGACAGCGATCTTCCATCAGAGTGTGAAACCTGCATTTTCAATCAAAAGATCATAACTGAACGATTCCCAGGTGAAAAAAATAGGCAAGTACTGCTGGAAACAGTTTCTTTTTTATCAGGAGTCAGCATGCAGAATTACACCCCAAATCAATTTGACAAAGATTGGAGAATTTCATTTTATCAATCTCCAATATTATTTCTTTTCCATTTAAAATTGTCTAAGCAATTTTTATGCGCACATTCTTTTGCACAAGGAGTAGTTTGCCTCATTTGTCAGAAGGGCCAAGCTCCCTGGATAACTCCATTTCATGCAGATTTCCCTCTATCATACATCACTGGAGTGACGTGCATGGGACACAGTGTATCCAAGGAGCTTGACCTGTAAAGGGGAATGAAGAGAAATACCAAGTTCTGCTCTTCTCTGACATCCTGCTTCTGATTATACATTATCTAAGAAGTATGAATAAAATTATTAACATAGAGTTCATGTAGATAATTTTTAAAATATCAGATTTGCAGAACTGAGGAGAGGCTGAGGGAGCTGGGGGTGTTCAGCCTGGAGAAGAGGAGGCTCAGGGGAGACCTTATCACCCTCTACAACTCCCTGACAGGAGGTTAGAGTCAGGTGGGGGTTGGTCTCTTCTCCCAGGCAACCAGCAGCAGGACAAGAGGGCACAGACTCAAGCTCTGCCAGGGGAGGGTTAGGTTGGATATTAGGAAGAGATTTTTTACAGAGAGAGTAATCAGGCATTGGAATGGGCTGCCCAGGGAGGTGGAGGATTCACCATTCCTGGAGGTTTTCAAGCTGAGACTGCATGTGGCACTTAGTGCCACGGTCTAGTAACTATGGTAGGGTTGGACTGGATGATCTTTGAGGTCTTTTCCAACCCGGTTGATTCTATGATTCTATGAATACATTGTTTATAATGATTGACTGTTCCTCTCTTCATGGCCTTAGAAGGACTTCTACTGTATGCTAAAGATATTTATGTATAGAGTACAATTATTCTTTATAAATTCTTTGCAAAACATTTATGAATGAAGTTAACTATTGTGATTTCATCTACCCAAATGTTGCAGCCCTGTGTTGGTCTGAATATTGGCTACTACCTACACTTTATAATTTTTCCATGGTCTTACAGATTTTAAAATCAAGGCTGTAGGGAGGAGATTTCATAGCTAGATTGAAGCAAGAAAAACAGCTAGGCTAATATAAATAGTCTCTTCTTCATTGTATGGTTTGTGTTTTTTTCACTGGTCTTGCTTGTTTATATCATTCATGCACAGTTTTCAGAAGCAGAGTGTCTTCAATGTATGAGCTCTAAAAAAATCTAGGTTTTTCTAGACATAAAGAAACACTATACTTTTTCTCTATGAGCTCTCTTAGTACAAGTGCTGGTAATCATCACCTCTTTTAGAAGCACAGGTATAATACAAACATGTCAACACCCAATTGGAAACACCAGCAGTAATAGCAGTTGCTCCATGGTTTAATGCTGGATTGAAAAAGTACAATTCTGACAAAAAAGAAAATCCAGGTTTGGTAAATGCTACAGGGAAAGCTCAGGAACCTGTGTAGCCCCTGCCATGTCGTTGGACTTGGTACAATAGCACACAAGGTCCTATCTTACTACATGTGCCACAAAATCCCTGCATGTGCAGGATATACAGCATTCTGCCAGGGTGGCTGCACTGATAATGGAAGATGATGAATGACCTAACAAGAGATGCACCTCCCACCAGTACATACTCTGCAAGTTCAGTGAGCTTAGAACTCCTTAAAACTGTCCGTCATTCAACACAGGTCAGGAAATAAATAGTCAGTTCCAGACCCCTAGGCTAGGCAAAAAAAAAAAGCTGGTCAGCACCAGAAATGTCTGTTTGATCCAAATACCAAATCCTCGCAGTTGGAACAAACCTGAACCAAAATCCCTCTTAAATTATCCATTCTTACCTGAACCAGAACTGAACTTGAACTATTATTTTCAAGTATGTTGAATCCAATCCATAACTGAATCAGAAATGTATTTTTGCTTTTCTGCCACAGAGTAACAGTTCAGCTAAGTCTCCATCCTGTGACAGGGACCCCTTGGCCTGTTTGGCACACACACTTATGTACAGTACAGCATAAAGGGAAGTGCTCCTCAAAGCTGCTGTCCAAGCTATTCCTCATCACATGACTCACTGAACTGGATGTCAAACCTGTATCCACCTGAATCACAACACCTTGGTTGAACAGCATCTTTACCAAAGGCTTTACTAGCCTGATTTCCCCAACATGAGCTTCAATTTTTGTAGGGATTGAAATGAGTAATTTAAGAATAAAAATTGAAAAACTTATACTGAGAAGCTGTTTTGTCCCATAGAAGCAAAAGAATACAAAACATCTTTATGTGTTTGAGTTAAAAGACAGATACATACTGATCTCAGCATTTTTAATAAATGCCTGCACAAAGTTTTTCATTTCCTCAAACTCCGATGCTCCAATATTGGAACTTCCATCCAGAAGAAACATGACATCCATCGGCTTGTTGCACAAGTCTGAGGGGGAGAGGGGGAGAGAAAAAGGTTATTTTATATATGATAACCAAAACTAGCATCTGCTAATTTATTGGTAGGGGCAGAAAGGGCAAGATACACTTGCATTTGGGGAAAACAAAGCAGGATAATGACCAGCTGAAACAATAAGTGATGCCCCTTTAATGGAAGCCTTGAGATTCACATTAAGTGGGATACGTGTCTATTTCAATTCCTTCTTTTCTGCAAATATTATTTTACCACCAGGAGACTAAACCAAAACCAACAGCAAACAACAACAACAAAAAAAACCCAAACCCAGCAAACAACAAAAACAAAGAAACAAAACTCACCAATACCCCACAAACAAACAAACCAAAAAATAATAATAAAGGAAAAACCCAACAAAGTGTACTCAGGAAAGAGGAAGTATAAATTTCTGTTATATTGGCAGAGAAGAATAACTGTTTTCCTCCTGTCACCCTCCAACCTATCTGAAAGCTGCTGTATTTTACTGACAAAAGGAAACAAGCACTTCTGAGCCTACAGAAGGATGACAGCAGGTCTGTGCTCAGTTCAGTTGAACAAGGGCAGCATCCTCAGCCTCCACTGAAGATAAAATCGTCCTTTCCTTGGCATTTGGACAACAAGATGCCAAACAAGACACAGGAACCCTTCAAAATTCATTGATGTGAGAGGTAAAAGGAACAGACAGGACAGAAGGAAAGAGGAAATCACACAGAAAATACACTCAATCTTACCTGGACTCCAACGTTTGTGAGAGCAGCATGACTGCAGCACTAATTCAGGTGCTTCTTCAATAAGTGTGTTGTAACTATGCAAGATAATAGGCTCATTAGGATGACTGATCTTTCTGAGCTCTTGGATATCTGCACTGGGGGTTATGCCTATGGGAATAACATTTATGTCCCAGGGAGGTCGTTTGATAACATCAGTGGAAGGACTGGATGACACCATATACACCAAGTGAGGAACATCTTGCCTGCCTCCATTCACTGGTATAAATGTATGCTTGGAAATATAATCAAGGGCCTTCCCAGTGTTGGTAGCCTTCCCTCCTTGGTAGGGTATGCTCCTCACCTTCTCAATAATACTTTCCTTTGACTGCATTTCCCTAAAGGAATACTCCAGAGTGACAGACTCTGAATACTGCATGACTGTAACATGAATATCTTCCTGTCCTACATTCATCCCTGTGATCACTTTCTCAATGAACTTCTTGACAATATTGAAATTTTCCTCCCCTACATTGTCAGATCCTTCCACAATAAAAGCAATATCCAGGCTTTTGTGAGCAGGCTTTTCTGAATAGGGTGTTGGGGTTGTGAGTTGCCAAGATGGAAACATGACACTGGATAATGCTGGACCGGATGTAGCTGGTAACAGAGAACTTTCTTCAGGTCCAAGATCACACAGACGATCAATGAGGAGATCTCTGTTGTCCATGAGCTCTAACACATTGCTCAGTATGAAAGCTCTGTTATCTGGTGACTGCCTTTCAATGAACCTGATTTGCTCCATGCTGACATATGGCCCAATCGCCACAGGTATTACCGAGATTTTTTTGGTCTTCAAAACGGAGACGATGTTGCGGAGTTTTCCTGAAGACTTGCTCGCTATAAATAGCACTGCAATTCTAGCAGCATTGGTCCTTTCTGCTTTTCCAAACACATGAAACACAGAGTATTTAAGAACTTCAGAGGCAGACGCTACTGCATCACCTGTGTATTTTATGCTTTGGACAATTTTCCTCATCTGGGACTGTCTTTTGACATCTTTAAGGCCAAGATAGATTGTGGGACCAGCCCTATACACCAGAATTGACACTCGGATTTTCTTTTGGGAGATGTGGAGTTCCCTCATCATGCCAATTATGAAAGTCTTCAGGTGTTCGAAGTCCTCCTCTGAGAGTTTATCAGAGCCATCCATTAGGAAAGCCAAGTCCATCATCTTGCTGCATGAGTATTCACTGGCTGGTCGTTCAATGTCCTCTTCTGGAATAGGTGTTGCCAGTGTTAGGGTGTTCTCCATGGGTTCACAGGCTATGCAGGTTAAGTTCTTCCCTTCACACAGACTACAAAAATCATGAAATTTAACTGTAAAAAGCAATGCTTATAATAACACATCACCCACATATAAGAACCTCCATACAAAACCAATTAAATATCACAAATCCACAATGAAACCAAAATATGATGTGAATTTTTTTTCCCCCACCCCATTTCCTCACAACTCCCCACAAGGTATTGTGCAGCTAAATCCTACATGTTCATACATGTCTGTTTAGATCCAGGAAACATATGATGAACTACAATGTGTTTGTCAGAGGAAACTCTCCTTATAATAATGTGTAAATCTGTCTCTGGAAACTGTCTAGAAACTCATTGAGCATCAGCAGTAGCGCTACCTACAAGCCACTGGTGAACCAAACTGGCAGATCCACTTCGCTTCACAAGGAAATAAAACATCAGGCAAACTAGAGGCAGCTAACACAAAGTAAAATTCAAGCATAGGAAAGATATTTTAGCTCTGGTATGGCCTCACAGACTCTGCGTGGAGGCTAGGCTTACCCGGCTTTTAAACTGAAATTAACTGTCTTTTTTTCTGCCTCTAAAGTGCTCTATGTTCTGAGGTTTATTCCTGACTTCACTTTGTGTTGAATACAGCTTTGGCACATATTTGACCTCTCTTAACTTCCAATTATTCACCATGATTTCTTTTTTAGTCCCTTTCCTCATATTAAATGGTTTATTTCAACTATAGCTGTTATCTCTTTGTAGTCCTATGTCTTCTCTCAACATTTCTACTACTTCTATTTTTCCCTTTCCATCTCAGCTCCTGTTTTCCTTCTTCCCCCATCTCTGTCTTTTTCACTATTTATCCTTTTGTACCACCATGAGCTTTTTCACCTCTGTCACTCCCTACATTTTAGGAACTTGTTTATAATTAATCTATCTTTAGCAAGGCTTGAACACTTCTGCCCTTCTAATTCCTGGTTTCAAGATTCTCTTTACTTCCTAGAATGATAGAATCATTTGGGCTGGAAGGCACCTTCAAAAGTCAGCTAGTCCAAACCCCCAGCAATCATCAGGAACATCTTCAACAGATCAGACTGCTCAGAGCCAGGTCCAACCTGGCCTTGAATGTATCCAGGGACAGGGTATTTGCCACCTCTCTGGGCATCCTGTTGCCAGTGTTTTACCACCCTTGTTGTAAAAAGACTTATACCTAGTATCTAATTTAAGTTTACCCCCTTTTAGTTTTAAACCACTATCCCTTGAACTGCCGCAACAGGCCCTGATGAAAGTTTGTGCCCAACTTTCTTCGAGGCTTTAAGTACTGAAAGGCCACAGTAAGTTCTCCCTGGAGCCTTCTCATCTCCAAGCTGAACAACCCCAACTCTCTCTGCCTTTCCTCATAGGAGAGGTGTTCCACCTCTCTGAGCATCTTCACTTATCAGAGCAAAGAACATGACTGCAGTCACTCACGGGGTGGAATAGTCAGTCAATACATTCCCCTTGTCTTACTGGATAGTCCAAGAAACAGAATGGGAAAAGGTTACAAAAGAGCAAGGACCAAAAAAATGCTTGTTTTCACTGCCAGACATAACCCAGGATGTACAAACCAAATGAGTCAACGCTGGGAGATGGTGCCATTTTCCAGGAAAAGACTTCACTTTACACGTGGCACCTTCATTTCAGTTCTCTTAGTTTAAGCGTTGTGTTCTTTTCAAGCTGCTTTTAGTGTCTTCCTAATTACAGAATGCACAGCTACTTTTGGCATTAACATATAGCACCAGAAGATTTATTATTTTAATCCTAATATGAACAAGACTCTTCTAGTTTCCAATTTCCTTTGGATATATGCTATGAAATTCATTTTTGTGCAGTATTTTCTATTGTTTGTACAGATGGTGTAGGCATCCAAATTAGGTGACAGCTATGCAAAAGGATGTTTCCCTAGTGAGGTAAGTTTTCCTAATGTTGTGAAATCTTCTGTGAGCAGCAGCCAGTGTATCAACATTTAAGATAAATTATTATTAAGGATTACAAAAATTAGGGAACAGAGACTCATTTATGGAGACTCTTTTTTGACCTTCTGATGGAATTCAAGGCTTTTTGTGTATATTGCTAAAAATATATACATTTAATTGATTAGCCTAACAGTCTTATGTCCTGGGTTTATAGCACAGACATAGGCTAGCCCTGGCAAGAGACCAGGAATTTAAAGTCTGTACCCACTCAGAGCTTCTGTGAGGTTCAGAGCACTTGGAACTAAGGTGTTAATCTGGACTAATAGCTGCTGCGGTTTCACAACTGTTTCCATTACATCTGACCAATTCACAAGATGGAAAACTCTCTAGTATTCAGAGGATTGTAACTGACTAGTGAAAGTATCCATTAAGGGTCCAGAGATTCAGAGAATGCCAACCTTTCAGATACTACAGCCCATGGCATAATATGGCATGGGGCAGTATACAGAATGAAAATCAGTCTCTGCTGCACTGCAGATGAAAAGCCTAACCCTGCATTGTGCACAGCATCATGCACCCTGCCTTTAATTTCATCATATTTGGAAATGCATGCATGCAGATCACGGGATATCATGTTAAAAATCTCATGGAAATTGGTTTTCCAGTACTAGTCCACAATTCCAACTGCTAATAATCTCAGCAGGTTCTAGACTGAGTGCACATCCAGATCTTGTGCTATACGCAGGATTTTTTTCCGTACTGGCAGCAGGAAAGAGCCTGACAGCTTTATTGGTGTTGAATCACACATTGCATAAAACGAAGTGGAAGATCTGAAGCCAGTAAGGCCACCTACACATGGGAAAAAGCCTTTTTTTAAAGGAATTTATGAATTTCACTTGCTTCAACTCAGCTGACATCCTATAATCCCTGCTGTCACTCAAAAACTTCAGCTTTTGTTTGTATGTGAAGGGGTATTGATGTATAAAATGGTCTCCAAGCTGCTTCTTCAGTGGTATATTTAAAGTTACATCAATAAACTTATTCATGTGGATGTACTTCATCTATGGTCCTTTATCCTACACAACAGGCATGCTATTCCACTGCATAAACCCATCATACCAAGACTGACAGCTCTGTGGATCATCTCTGTTCAAAATTATGCTCCTTCCATGCAGGATCTTGACATCTCCAACTGTACATACGGGACAGTCTTCTGGACTGACACAATCCAGGGACAGTTCATCAAGTATTTTTCCTGTTTCAAAACAGCACACCAGCATAAAGATGTTAACTAATCATTGCATTAAAAACATAATGATGCTTCTGAGGTGGCCCCAAACATTCTGAATACTGTGCTTGTGTTACAGCCACTGCCTGCTTGACACAGAGAGGTATCTCCTTCCTTCATATGCCTTTTATTTAGATCTTGGAAGTACTTAACCCCGTGTATAACCTGCAACAGCCAGCACCACACAGAAGGCAAATATATCTTTAGAACAAAGCATGGAAGACAACAGGAGAAAATGGCATTTTCTTTTAAACATGTATATTTTCTGTTTCTCCCCCTATCCCCTGCCTTATTCTGATCAGAGACACCAGTGCCCAGAAGAGCTGTTTTGGGTCTTTCTTTGCCCTCATGTCTTCTCTCTCTCTCTTTATTTATTTATTTGAGTTTTCACTCTCCTTTTTATTCTTATTTGTCTTTCACTCTTTTCCTTTCTCTCTGTCTTTCCCCTCCCTGCCCCATATTCACAGTATTTTTTTCCTTTCCCTTTCCTATGAGATAGCTGTTTGGAACAGCTAAGCTGAAAGCTCAGGCTCACAAGAAGATGTCTGCTAGGCAATTTCAGGAGCATCTTGGAGGCAGTAAGCTGGTCAAGGCAGTAGGTTACCCCCTGCTGTAGCTGACAAAATCTTCACCTTCAGAGCAATGTCCGGCACAAATTCATACCCTACTTTAACCACATAGTCAACAGTCTCTGTTGCCACACAACCCCTAATCCTCCTATCCTCCTTTCCTGTCAATCCATTCCCCATCCTCTCTTGTTCTTGCTGGCAGTGCTTCATTCTCCTCTTCTAGGCATCACTTCATGCCCTCCACACATGGTGTCCATTTCACAAACTCAAACCAAGATGCCCAACCACATCTCTCTCTAGGCAGTAAGAAATTGTGGTGAACACACATCAGTAAGCCTGTTAAGAAGAAGAAAAGGTAAGTAACTGTTTAAGTAAAGCAAAAGATGGACTTACCTGCAGGACAGTGTACATGGCATCCTTCCACACACTTCAGAGGGCACTCCAAAGGCTGTGGGTGTTGGCAAGTAACAGGACAAGCAGGTCCACAGTTATTAAATCGCCACTCACATTGGTAATCTAATTCGTGTTTATTCAGGTCCTCACAGCTTTGTGCTATGCAGGGAAAGAATAAGAGGCAAAAAACACCTCAAACCAGACTATATATTCACCATATCTCTCAGAACTATGACACCAAACATCATATAAAGTGGACCACATATATACAGAAAACAAAAGATTTCCACCTTTAAATAATAATATATTCCTTAACTACATTATTGCTTAATTACATCCAGGGCAGGCTACCTCTTCAACATTTATACCTTCTTTCACATAATGAAATATTTGCTCTAGGCCAGAGATATTTGGCTTTGATAATAGCAAATATAAAACAACCCCAAACTGTAAGCTTTAATTAATGCACACATATATTTTACATAAACCATTTCTTTCTCTACACTTTTTTGCACCACAGGCAAATTCCTAATAGATGGAATGGTTTTTCCAGGTGTGGTTCTGACCAGAAATAGAAAAGGGAGGGGAAACATCAGCATGAGCTGCTAGACCAGCCCCATTTAGGTGAACTTCTGGGGACATCAGTGGGAGCAAAACTAAATCAGACCAATCCATCTGAGCCAAAATACTGAACCTTTTCGCCCAGTTCTTCCTCGTCTACCCTCTACTTACGGCACAGATTCGGTGATCTCCAGTGAACAACAACACCTTTTTGTGCACAAGCATGTGCATAGGCTGCTATAGTGTCACAGAAGCATGCACAGTCCCCGATAGATTCACAAGCACAAGTGTCATACATGCAAATATCTATGTAGGGCTCAGGATTCACCTACAAAAGAGAAATATGGAGTACAGTACACTCAGTGATTCCCTTAATCACCTTCCTGTAGACATCCTTCACCTTCAGATGGTTTGGCTGCTCCATTTGTCAAGAGCCACATAAATCAGTGTAGGTCTTTCTGCTGATGTCAGCAATACCACATTCTCAAAGTTGCCATATAAACTGCAGTTTACTGTCCCTTAATATTCCCCATATGGAGTAACTTTATATGGTTTTAGACCCTTGTCCCCACCCCCTTGTACAGAAGCTTGGGTAGAATACAGTCTGAATGGCATTACATTAGCTCAGCTCCCACTTCCCTCAAATCTCAACCCGTATGCTTTACTTCATGTGCCAGTCTCTGGGCTGTACAAGAAAACTTCCCTTAGGTAAAATTCACTCTATAGCTTACTACTAGGTGGTATCCTGCATTTTCCCACAAACCACCAGGACAGGGTGAATGATGAGAACACCAGCCAGTCTCCTCCAAGTCCTATGTGCTGTGAGCACTACCACATTTTTTTTCCCTCAGCTGTAATCAGTGTCAGCACAGATGAAGAATGTGAAACACATGAGTCAATACTCACTAATTTTTTGCATTCTTCAAAGAGATCCCCAGACAAAATGCTGCATGACGTTTCTACCATCACCTGCTTCACTATGTTTCCATCACACAGTGGAGGCATCAAGGTCTGCTCCAGGCTGGGCTTAATGTTGTAAAAGACAAGTACAGATTGCATTAGCCTTGTCAGGACTTTTCAAATTAAAGTAGGAGACTCACTAGCCATTTTTTCATGACAAAGGAAATTGTTTCTTTGAGTAAAGTTTCAACCTGTTATATGACAGCCCCAGATTCTGCCATGGCAGAATGCAGAGTAGAGCAGATCGTCTCCTAGATTTCTCTGGCTCTAACTTGTACACTGCAGTTTTAACTTAGACATTTTGATGACAGGAATACCCACTGTACCAAACACCCATCCTGAAAAATTATTATCCACAGCTCTACAGAAGGTCCAGGAGACTCCAAAATATGGCCAGGCTTCAGCAGAAAATACTCAAGGCCACTGCCTAATAAAAATGGCTCAGTAGAAGCATAGAATCATCAAGATTGGAGGAGACCTCTAAGATCATTGAATCCAACAGTTATCCTGCCACTCTGCTGAAACCCCTAAACCATATCCTCCAGCATCACATCCAGATGACTCTTAAACACTTCTAGGGATGGTGACTCCACCACCTCCCTGGGCAATATTTCAATGCCCGAACACCATAACAGGGAAAACAGTTTTCCTGACACCTAATGTGAATTGACTCTATCTCAGCTTATGACTGTTCCCTGTAGTCCTCTCCCTGCAGCCATGGCAGGAGAGACCATTCCCCACCTCTCTACAACCCTGTCAGGTAGTTGTAGAGAGCAATGAGGTCACCCCTAAGCTGCCTCTTCTCAAGGCTAAACAAACCCAGTTCCTTCAGCTGTTCCTCATATGATATGTTTTCCAGACCTTTGATGAGCCTCATTGCCCTTTGCTGGACTTGCTCCAATGCCTCAATGTCCTTCTTAAATTGAGAGGCCCAAAACTGAATACAGTACTCGAGGTGCGGCCTCACCAATGCCAAGTCCAGGGGGATGATCCCTGCCCTAGTCCTGCTGGCCACACTATTCTTGATACAGGCCAAGATGCCATTGCCTTCTGGGCCTGCACTGCACACTGTTGGCTCATATTGAGCCGCTGCCACTAGCACTCCCAAGTCCCTTTCTGATGAACAACACTCGTGCCACTCCCAGCCTGTAGTGCTGCATTGGGTTATTGTGTCCCTCTCTCCCATTTAATTCATCTAAGAACAAGGATCACTAGTACTGACATGGCATTTATCACCATGACACTCTGCAGGCTCTGTCCTGTGCCTATTACAGTGAAATGAGAAGCTGCTCCTTCTCTTACTCTGTGGTCTCACCCCTCAGTATTGCAACTCAAGTCATATGAAAAAAATGACATTCAGTGAGGTAATACTGTGGCTATGTCACATTTGCACATAATTAGCAAATTAACCTAAAAGATCTTGTGTGACCAAGAATAAATGCTTCAATTCATGTTTGTGATAATTTAAATATTATAAGAAAATACCTAAAAAAGTCTTTCTCCACACACACACACCTCTCTGACCATTTAGATGAATTTTCAAGAAAAAGTTTTCAGCCATAAAAAGCATTAGTTGAATGAAATGCTTCGTTTTACAAATGTCAAAACAAGTTGTCTTCAAGCTGTTTCCCCACACTTTTTGATTTGAAAATACTTTGGGCTGTTATTATTTGTCAGCTTAATACCATTTTACTATTCAACTTCATTCTTTCCCAATTCTGTATTTGGAAATGAGGAAGTAGTACCCAATGAAATCACCTAATCTGGTGATTAGAGACAGCACTGGGACATAGATAACACTTTCAGATAGCAGATACCCTCCTCAAAAGTCAGGTGCCATGATAGATGGCAATAAGATCTCACATCCCCTCCTGTATCCTGCTTTTTCTGTTCAAGCCCTTCCAATCTGAAAATAGCAAGTGAGTTTAAAAAAAAAATAATGAAGAGCAAATAGAAAGAAATTCACCTGTGGCTTCCATTGTTTGTAATGGACAGACTAAGATTTGGGATATAGAAATTTGGATAGAGAAATATGAAATTTTTATCTGAAGTCCTCCTCACTGAAAATTACAGCTGGTTTGGGGTTGGTTTTTTGACTAAACTCTAAAATGAGATTTCCAGTTATACTTGGATTTGAAGCACCTGGGCTGGAAACTCTATGAACAGCCTCTGCCATACTGATTGGCTATTTTAACACTCATCTGAAGCCAGGCAGCACAGAAACCTTAAATAAGTTAACTGATCTTTCACCAGATTTCAAGAAATAATATTATTTGGCAAAATCATGGGGGAAAGTCTTAATTTCTGTTTATTTTTACCCTTTCAAACCTCTTTGTCCACTCCTGGGTGATACCATAACCCACTTTGATTAGTTTTCACAGTTCATTCGCAATCACCTTTTCAACATCAGCACAGGATGGATTAACTTTCCAAGAATTCCCAAAGTCAACTGGATCTACTTCAAGATGTTCACTGCTGCTGGTCAAATCATTGTTTTGGATTCCGTCAAAATTTCCACACAGACCACACACTTGATCCTTGCAGAGAAAGAAACACAAAATACATAAATCTTACATCTGTAGACTGGCTTAAGGTTTTGTTAACAAGTCTTTTTAGCCCAGTGCTTTAACGCCATGAGGCTTAAAGTCTGAATTACCCATGGCCTTGCCAAGTGCACTAAAGTAGACATAGTCTCTCATACAGAACGTGTAGTTCTTATATCCATTCTGCTTTGCTGTCTCCAAGGACTACAGAAAGCAAGACAACTCCAGTCAGCAGAGCTCATTGGATCTATTTGGACTATGTCTCTGCAGTCCCATTTTATTTCTGGAGGTGACAGTCCTATCACCACCACTCATAAATCTGGTTCCTTATACTGCTCTTCTTGAGTAGAGAAGAAACCACTCAGGGCACAGTTACTCTGAGACATCACAGCGTTCATTCTTTCTGTCATGGCTCATCTCCAGTGGCCCAAGATTTACACTATACAACCGAACTACAAGGAAAGCAAGTCACCCCTATGGTATTACAAAAGAGAAAAACATAATTTTCAAGCAAGTGCCTAATACTCCATAGAAATCCATTAGCATGTCTGCAGTGAAAAAAAACAAAAACAAAACCAAAATCGTAGTTCCCCAGAGACATCTCCAGTGAGAATAAGAAGTAAAGCACAAAACACTTACTTTGAAATTGTCTTTTAAGATAACGGAGACTCCCATAGCCAGATCCCAGGTCACACTGATACTTTTGCCCAGCAAAATGATGTAATAACGACCAGACTTCAGGACGTCTAAATCATTTTCATCTTTAGGAGGTACCTTGATGTTTACCTGAACAAGAGAAGCACATTGTGATATCAACTGTGTCTCTAAAGACTGTTTCAAAGAGGTCACTTTCCCAGTGGGATGCATGCTCATAGGTTAACAGGTACTTTCAAACATGATGTACTCCAGTCCATACACTGTCCAGATGCTCCAGAACAAATCAGCAAATTGGGATACAAGTAGAGAATTTCAATCTCATCCCATCTCTGTCATCTTTGAATGTGGTTCCTTGTGCTCCTAGGGTAAAATGTGCACTCACCACAAATGCCAGCGCATGCAGTAGTGATTGCTAAACAGGAGGGCTGATAAAGATGACAGGGTATACCCAACTAATGATCAGTTTAGTATTAGGTCAGTGGTTCACAAAATAAGTCTGTGCTGGTTTTTTGGTTTGTTCATCTTTTTAGGAAACTAACAATTCAGTGCTTCAGAGGGCAGGCAGAGCCCGAAGGGTTGGCCACATTTAACTGTAATGGGAACTGGGAGAACCACATGCATCAGTGGCCTCTGAAGGACCAGAGTCTGATTCTGAAGTCAGGAATGACTTTCTTCCCAAACCACCTACACCAATGGGAAAAATCCTGAGAGATTCCCTTCAGGCTCTCTTCATTTTTCCATCACTTTCCCTTCCCCTGTGTGCCTCTTTCCATCTGGCTCCAAATTTACCACCTCCTGCTACTAAGAATTTAAGAGATTAATTTAAAATGCCTTGTTTCACACCATAATCCCCTTTCAATAGGAACCCTAATAGGATTATTAACCACATTTGGACAGAAAAGTCTGCCACGGCTGTAACATTAAACACCATTAATGCATTAATTGCTTAACTGTGGAAGAGGCAGATGAAAACTTTCAATCAGTACAAATAGTAATTAAAGCAAGAGAGAAAGAGGAGCCCAAAAACCATTCACCCACTCCCTAGTTTGAGGGCAAAATATTTCCTTATCCCACTATTCTTTCTTGCTCAATTCAGTAAAAACTCAGCACTGTAATTCAATTCTCTTAATCTGAATTATGATCAGAAACCTTTACTCCCAGAGAAGACAATTCACATCTTCCATGGATCTGCTAAAGAGGACTTTCAATGTAATTAGGGAAGAATTTGTTAAAAGATATTTTAGGAACTGGAAGCCTCTTCATTTTCTCCTATGCCAAACATATTACTACACAGCCTAGTCATTTGGTCACTTAAACTTCTAGAGGATTCTTTGTCTTTCCATACTCAGGCAAAAAACAGAGGAGGACAAAGCTGAGCTGGGATGTTTGACCTAAATTACAGAATTTCTATGTTTATGGAGGCTTTTTGCCCAACCATGAAGTCATAAACTTTTGACCTTGCAAACTGGAAGATTTGTTTCAGAAAAGCAAAAATTATATCACAAATTTTTTAAATAAAGTCAGCCAGAACTGTTACATGCAGATACTTCAATGACGCCCCCACATACCTAAAAAGAGAAGTTTTTCTCAAAACAGATCATCTTAAAACAATGCTAATTGGAAATATTTTAATGGCAAAAAAACACTTCATGATTCTTGCTTCTAAGGATTTTTGTGGAAAAGGAGTGTAGGAAGCCATCACTGATGAGAATTTGCCTGAGTCTCCATATCAGTTGTTTTTCCTTAATTTCCCTTTTGGTTGCTGTTATTTCTAAGCAAACCTGCTCTACATATTATTACACTGAGCCTTAAACTCTCTAAAAAGACAGCTAAAAATGTAGTCAGGGTCATGTGGACAGTCTTGCCATGCAGACCTAGCTCTTACAAGGACAGGCTCTCTCAGGAATCAAACACTCTCTGTTCCTGAAGTTGCTGGATGTCTAATCACCTCCCTGTCTTTTCTGGCCCTTTCTTAGGTGTCCAAACGGAACCACAGCTTTTCTGAAAACCTGCCACCTCAAGAAGCTTTCAGACAAAACCTGCCTAGATGGAACAATCCCTGCACTACTATTCATCCTCACCCAGGTAGGGAATTCTTTAGCAGTAGAAATAAAGAATTAGGCAACCAATATGTCCTACGTTACTTCCTCCAGCATCCAAAAGCCTACATGGACCATATGCTGTCAAGATGCACTGCACAGACAATATTAATAATGGCTGTGTTTTATGTGTTCCTGTCAAGGATCAGTGGCAATTTTCAGTCTATTCCAGTCGTGGTATAGCTTTGTCTGTTAACCCAAAACAAGGCAAATGTAGAGTGGTCTCATGTTTCACTGGGAACATTCTTGCAAATCCCTGGTCCAGATGCCAGTTCAGAGCACAGGATTTCTGAAAACAGAGCAACTGAAACACTGTATAAACCACTGTCATTCTGCAATGTTTGAACACACAGACAGTTTTAATTGTTACAGTGCTCAAGGCAAAGAGCTGAACTCTGCCCTCTGGAAGGCTTGTTTCCTGCTGTGGAAGGACATGGGAGATGGAAGTGATTCTTGCTGAATTCTTCAGTGTTTGCTGGTAGGAAAGGGGAAGAAAAAGAAAAATCTAATCATTTGGATATTCCATCTGGCAATTTAACAGGGAAAGGACAGTTGACATTTCCTTCTGCAGTATCAATTTGTTTGAGCTATGACTTCTTTTTTTCTTGTGTGCTGAGTCCTTCATATTGCTAAATTAGGTTTGATGTTTTATTAGTCATGGGACAGTCACTTTCTTAGCTCTTCCTTGCACTTAATGTACCTGTGAAGACAGGCTGAAAGATTTGGGGTTGTTCAGCCTGGAGAAGAGAAGGCTCCAGGGTGACCTTCTAGCAGCCAAAGGGGCTACAAAAGAGCTGGAAAGGACATGGAGTCCTTATTCTTTACATCACATTTACAAGGACAAGGGATTGTGGCTTCACATTGAAACAGAGTAGGTTTAGATTAGATATTAGGAATAAATTCTTCCCTGTGAGGGTGCTGAGGCCCTGGAACAGGTTGCCCAGAGAGATTCTGGATGCCTCAACCTTGAAAGTGTTCAAGGCCAGGTTAGATGGAGATCTGAGCAACCTGGTCTAGTGGAAGGTGTCTCTGCCCACATCAGGAGGATTGGAACTAGGTAGTCTTTAAGGTTCCTTCCAACCCAAACCATTCTAGGATTACCTGAGATAAATTTGTTGGCATCAATCAGAAATACCAAAGTGGCATTATACCTCTGGGAGCAAAATAGATAAGTACAGTCCTGCTAATCTGTCCATGTTATGTTCAAGAACCCCTGAGTATTGGGTCATTCATGCCTTATCTTATTAAATAACATGAACTTTTTTCCCCCAAAAAAAGGGAAATAAAGAGGAAACAAGCATACATACATTTCCATTAAACAACTCTATTTCTCCTCTTTCATACAGAATGATAACCCTTTTGGTGCACTTTTCTCCAGTGAAGCCACAACCTTCATTTGAAATTAGTATCCGGAATGTTCCAGAGTCATCTTTGCAGAAATCCTATCAGATGAAAAATAAACGAATGAGTCAGTAATGTGTAACATTTGAAAACCACGTGCAGAGAAAAACACACAGAAAAAAGAAAGCCTCAGATAAACCCCTGTGTATCCTGTGACCAATACAACAGATGTTGGCATGCCAACTGTTCCCATATCCATTTATTTTGTGCTTAGCCTTGATATTCATGTGGTCCATCCCTTAAGAATGAGGCACACTCTGCCAGTGACACACACATATGCATAATTTGGAGATAATTTTTTGGCAGGGAGAATCCATGCTACTACAGTATCTGTGATGTTTCAAAGATGCACAGTGTATATCTGAATATGCAGATGTTAATTGATCTACAAGACTCTGCAGCTCCAAAGACAAAATTAAAATACAAACCTATAAGGTTAGGTTAGAAAGAAAAGTTAGAAAGAAATTTGTTTCCCTACCTGTGCATGAATAATAATTACAATAATGCCAACCTATTTCTTGGGGAGCAATGATGTAGTTTAATATATTACTTTTCTTTTAAGTCAACTATTTCTGAGACGCTTGGAGAGTAAGCACTACATTTATATGATGACTCTTGGGCCTTTTAGATTATTTTTTTGTTGTCTTTCTTTTTTTCAGTACACTTTTTAAGAAACAGACCTTGTGTAATATTCTCTGTGTTTGGCATCTAAGGAAAACATATTTCATTTTCATTTTAAGCAGTTTTGTAGTACTGTATGGTATTGCTGCCCAAAAGGCTTGGACCCAAAAGACTCTTACTAGTGTCAGAGCAATCATTCTTCTAAGGTAATCCATCTGGCACCAAGGTGGGAGCACATTTCACAGACCTAGCCAGAGACAGGTTGGTCACAGTTTCCTGCCCAAGGAGAACTGCAAGGAGGAATGTGCTTCATGAAAAGAGTCTGTGAGGAAGATAGTAGCCCACCCAAGAACATCACACAGTAACTGCAGAAAACTGTTGTTACCAACTAGCAGTGGATCAATCTAGTTTTAGACCAAATTTGCAGATAAATCCTTCTTTTTTGTTTGGATGGTTTAAAATACACAATGATTTGTATGTAGATGAGCCTTAATCTTAGCTAACTCTAAATTTCTGGCTGCTTCCACAAATCACAAGTTGACCTTAGTGCACTGTGTCTTTATTCACCTCTCCTCTGCTGCGAGGAAAATGTATATTGTCCATGTACTCCAAACAGGCTGGTGCATGGAACAGGTATGGATTGTGCTGAAGGGAACAAGCACAGTCTGTGCTCTGGGGCATTTAGGGAAGGTTCACTGAGCATTCCTTGTCTCAGCCAGAAAGTAAACTACCACCATAGCATAAAGGGGCTGGTGGGGAACGAGGAACGACTGATTTATGGATACTCACAACTCCATGTGAGAGATGAGATTCAAACAGCTCCTCTCTGTACCAAGCTGCTATCACAAGGTTTGTGGCTGCCATCTAGACATGTGACAACTTAATTTCTAAGAACAAAATTCAATCATCACAGCTCTCAAGACATCTTTGAAGTCTTGAAGCTCTGTTCTCCTCTACCATACATCAGGCTTAGTAATTTTGAATATTTTATTGTGATTTATCCAAACATTGGACTTCTCAGCTGATGTAAAATGCCTTGTATATTATCGGGCTGCTTTAGCATTTGACATGTTCTTACCTGAACTAATACATATTGACAGTTTCCTGGAAACTTGTATTTCAATCCATCAAATGTCAAGTAATGAGCTGTACCAATAACAGTGCAGGTGCCATCACACAGATTTTTGGTGCACTCCCACTTTCGACCATGGCACACACTGTAACAGAGAAAAGAAACCAGTGACAGTTACAATCATTTCCCACATTTACAATACGAGAATGCAAGATGCTTTAGCAAAGTGAAAGTGCCAAAGTTTCTGCCTCCAACAGCTCACGATCCAAAGACTCTCCAAAAGGCAAACAAGTAGTCATATCACAAGCTTTTCCTGGGTCTGTCTGAGGGAGTGACTAACTCCAGACAAAACAGGAGCATCATTCCCCTGTATGTCTCAACCCAGATGCTCTGTGAGGAATCTCTGCAGCTGTCTGTGCTGCTTGCTGTCCTCAGGTATGTCCCAGCACATCCTCTCTGGGTTTGGCCTTGAGAACGTACTCTTAGAGGGCTCCATGCCTGGGCTGCCAAAATCCTTCTCTAGATAGACTTCTATAACCATTTTGCACTACCACACAGCAGATAAGATGCTCTCTCATTAACATAAATTAGCATATTCTGGCATTGGGTGCATAAATCCAGAAGCTGCAGGTATGAAAGATCTTTCCCTTGATATCCACAGGTTTCTGATCAGGGTAATAAACTGATTTGCTAACTAGCAAGAGTCTGAGCAAATAAAATAAAAGCCAAGGTCAATGGAGAGTTAGAATAGCATCAGACACCATAGCTAATAATAATAATTTAATAATCTAATAAGCAATATCTTGCTTGAGGGGGGAGAAACATTCATCTACCAAATGCTTTATGAATGCAGATGGACACCATCACTGTCTCAGGAATTTTCTAATCAAGCTGCATAAGGACAGGGAAAGGGGAATTCTATCCATGCTTTACAGACATAAAATCTCAGTGATAAAAAACCTGAAGTACTTTCCCAAGATCATATTGCTACCTAAGGAAAATCCATGTACTGAACTGAGTTCTCTAGTAATGCCTTAACCCAAGCATAAGCCCTGTTTAATCTTGACAACATTTCACAGTACAATAAATATTGTGCAATAGATTTTCTTTGAAGAATGAAATTTCAGTAAGATGAAACCCACTGCACCCTCTGCTATCAATTCTCTGCTAATAGGTAGAGCGAGACCAAGATTTTGTATACATGTACACACACAGATTTTAAGGTATGTGGTGTAGCAAAACTCGGATCAGCAAATTTCTGCTGTGTGCTGCTTCATAAGAGTTACTGCAAAAATTTCATTGAGCTCTACAATGAATTCCCAATACATTGCATAAGAAAAGTTTTGCCACTGGCTTAGACTTGGAGACATTCCGTTGTTCATGGATTAGGGTCTCCCATATGTCAAGTCGGATGTAAACGCCAAATCTGACACCTCTGGCTCATATATTGCGTTTGCAGGTGTTCACATCTGGCTAAGAACAAGTGAGAATGAGAACTCCTGCAACAGCAGTACAAAAAGCAAAAACAAAGAAAAGGAAGATCTGAGCTCCAAAAGGCAGAGTCTCAATTCTTATTAATTCTCAAAGCAATAGTAATTTCCTATGTCACTTTATAAATGACATTTGACTTGATATTTGCTGAGAACTACCACGAAACTTTTCAAAGTCACAGTTCAAAAAAGCCCTAGTGACATTTTCAGAGGGACCTTATTTCCAACTTTACTTTCACATTCAAGAAAAATATCCAAAATGGGAGGAAGAACTTTTTGTCAATGAGAAAATGCATGATTTCTAACATTTTCTTGACTCTGATATATTGAAAGAAATTCTGTGTATTAGAAGAAATGCCATTTACAATGGCATTGCCAGAATTAAAGGGGCAGTTACAAGAAGGAAGCAACATGGGTCTGACTATTTTAAGATCAGAGATTATAATAGCGACTGAAAATAAAAAGACTGTGCATGGTTATTGTGGTGAATCCTGCAAATTTCACAACATCTAAGAGTTTTACAGCTCACTGTTCTTGTGTCAATAAAATGTTCATAGTGCCTGTTTATCAGTTGAGTAACTTCTACCTACATGCCATGTAAGCAGGTTATAAGAGATGTATTTCTATAAGAATATCAACTTCTTCATCTTCCTCTCTTTACAAACCTACTTGTCTCCAGGTTTAATTAGACTGCCTGATTCACAATATAATATGTAGCTGCAAAGGAAAGAAATGAAACAAAACACTGGAAGGTCAATATTTCCATATAAAGCCTTATTCCAAGTCTAACACTAGTTAGGAGCAGTCTCACTAGTTTAAAAATGCAAGATTTGAAATCAGTTACTCAGAGATCAATGCACAAAAGAAGAAATAAGCCAAATGACTCCTCAACAGTGCTGATTCTCTGATCCAAATCCACCCAGTCATGCAGAGGATAACAAACATTGCTTCTGGGGGTGTCAAAGAGCTGGGCAGGGACACTTTGGATAGAATATACAACAGATTCTGAAGCCTAAGTTCAAAGAAAACAGAGTTTGCACACTGCTGGTGGCTGGATGTCCGAGACCTTGGAGTCTTGGAGCTCTGCAAGCAAGAGGCATCATTCCCTCCACACACACACATGGAAAGTGAAGAGTGAAGCACCTCCAATGCAGCCAATGTGCTGTGCAGGCAGAAGCCAAGACTGGTCCAGCAGGCAAATACACCATACCTTACCAAAGGCTGTGCTGAGAGCTTCCCTCCATCCGAATCACACAGCCCAGCACTTTCTTTTGAACTCATAAATTCTTTTTCATGAACCAAACAGGACAAGGGTGAAAGACATGGAGCACTTTTCTAAGGAGTTACCACCAACTCTTCTTTTTTCTATCTTTTTTCTTTTTAATATATATATCAATGGACTGAACACTCTTTTGAGATATAAGAGGTCAACTCTGTCTCTGCCTAATTCTTTAACATTCTTTAACATTTTCCTGAGGAGCTCCTGTCATATTATAGCTGGTGCATCACATCCCTTCTGTTGATGCACACTTCTGGCTGAAAAGGACTGATTTGAAGGGCACCAGCAAAACAAAGGGAAGCTGAACAGCAAAAAGCATAGCAACAAAGCACAGGCTTCATTCCTCCCACCCCAGAGGAGCTCCTATACTGTTACCTTGTTTTGCAGAATCCACTAGCTAGTGCCCACAGAGGATTTGCATAGACACACATGTATTTGTAAGGTACCAGGCACAGTTTGCCAGGTATCACACAGGTCTTCCTGCAACATGCAAAGGGAACGTGCTGGTCTGTGCACCATGTGCATTACTGCACTGCAAAGCCAGACTTTATATAAAATAGAGCTGTTAAGCAAACAATACTTGGTGTTATTAGAAACATATCAGATGCCCTAGAGAAAAACACCATTCCAGTGGCTTACCAGGTGTTGCAGTCATTGGTCACTGTCTCTCCCTTGGCATATTCTCTTCCATTGTGGAAACATGGACATCTCTCAGGAGCAACACACTTGTTTTCATGTCGCACCTAAGCAGAACAGACAGTTTGTCACCATGTGGGTCTGTTGGTACATGTCAGGAGTACATGTCAGGGAAACAAGTAGTAAGGAGCAAGCACAAGAACATGTGGAGAAAGAAAAAAGGAGAGGCAAAATGGCTCAAGATTGTCTAAGGTAAGAAAGGTACAGTAAAACTAAGATTTTTTTTCCCCGCTAACATAAATAGAGCTATGGGTAAATAAATCAAGGTCTTAAGGGTATATAAATCACAGCTTGCTTCCACCAGCTTGAGCTGCTGGGAGAATAACTTATAAAAGAATGTCACAATGACAAAGTCCAGTTTGACCAAAACCAGGATGTGGTGAAGGCAAAATAGGCTAACCTGAATATGGAGAGCAGGTGAATAGCACATGCTTCTCACACACAACAAACTGAAGCATGGCCTACCAGAAGCAGCCAGACACAGGGCTTAGCTGGACTTAAAACAGAAATAGGATCACTGAGGAGGAGCCCAGGAGACACAGTGCCAGAAGAACTCACATGCAAATGCAAATTCTGTTGTCCAGACAACAGCCCCTTAGCAAACTTCATCCCATTCCCATCAATTCACCTCTGAAAATTCCAGCAGTCATTCATTTTCTTTAAAATCCCTATTTATTTCATGGAGGGCAGGATAAATATCAGTCCACTTGAGATATTATTCCACTCTCACAGGCTCTGTTGCTGGGAAATGAGTTACTATGTTCCATCTACAAATTTTTCACTTTTACCCTACTGATCTTAGTTTCTCTTTGGATAACAGCAAACAAAAAAACCCAACCAAACATAAGCAAGTAATGCCTTTAGACTATTCAGTTGTTTCCATTCCTTTTCTGTTTTCTTTCTCTGTGATTACTCCCTTTCCATTTTGAAGACACCCAGTTTTAGAGAACCAAAGTTACCTATGCTGAATTTTCGCTCAGTTTTGATTCTGCAAAGCCAGAGATAGGTTTGGCTCCTGCTTCATGGAATACTGAAATGGAGAGTCCTTTCCCTTCCTCTCATTCAAAAGTCACAAAATATCACCTTCCCACTTTAAACTCTTTCTCCAAAATCATTAAAATAGTTTCTTTCTTCCCATTAAATAGAGGCCAATGAGATCAATGTAGTCTGAACGCCAGGTTAATAAAGCAGAACAGCTCTGCCTTTCCCTATGGGGACCTAGAACTGCCACATGGAACAACTAATAAAAAAGATTTCACAGTCCAGAAACCCTTCATATGTATCTCCATGTGTTCTGTGGCTTATGGAGAGCTATATTATGCCAAATAAACTCACTCCAATAGAAGCAAGATGGAAACAAAGAAATGCTTTTCTAGATGACAGAGTTGAGGCTCTGCCTCAGACTTAATCTCCACAAAGGATAGTGATAAAACAGTCCAGAGAAGATCATATGTTTCCAAGGGAATTTAATTCCTTCTTTCCTGGTGGCATTTAGGAAAAAAGCAGCATATGACTTCACACTTGAATTAGAACCTCTTCTACTTGCTCCCTAAAATCTTCACAGACAGGTATTGGTATTTCTATCATAACCAGTGCAGCAACTGTTAAGTCACTAACAAAGAGGGAAGAGCACCTTGTCTGAACACTGCAGAGTGGGTGGGTGGGATTTAGAAAGCAGGACATAAAAACCCAAAGTGAACTTTGACCGGAAGAGGCCAGAAGACTTACAATATTTTGCTGCAAAACTCAATGGTTTATGATTTTGTTAATAGTAACACACAATCTACTGGTCAAATTGACACTCCATCCAAAAGCTGGTGTACATCTGGCAGCCTGATGCCATGCTGCATTACAAGTCTGTTAAGCATAGTACCCTGTGGTACTACAAGGCCAATATTGCTATTCATAAGGTTGGATTTTCTGTGAAAGTCTCTCAATCCATCAAGAGATAGCAGTTTATACAGGAGATGTAGCAGTCTTGGCTGCTTGAGATGATAGAAGGCATGAGCATTGGGAAGGCAACCATAAGAAAAGACATAGGTTTGTAATGAGATCAGCTGCTCTTGCACCATTAAACACCCTTATGAAGATGCTCTGCATCCATGGGATTACAAGTGGTTGATTAGATAATTATTTCCCCACTACCTGGGAATCAGGCAGAAATGTCCATAGTTTCCTTGCCTGGTCTTATTAATTGCTAAACCTTGGGAAATTTTGCAAAAAGAAGGACAATATTACAGATTTCATAACCTCTTGGATTCTTCTTACCTAAACTTGTAGGAGTTGACTGCCTCTCTCTGCTCTGAGCTGATGCAGCCTCATCTTGAGACCTGTGTGCAGTTTTGGGCACCACAATATAAAAAGTAGGTAAAGCTATCAAAGTGTCCAAAAAAGGTGAAGGGTCTAGAGGGGAAGCCATACGAAGAGGGATGAGATCACTTGGCTTGTTCAGCCTTGAGAAGAGGAAACTGAGGGGAGAGGTCACAGCTTCCTCATGCGGGGCAGGCACTGCTCTCTGCTCTCTGGCGACCAGTGACAGGATCCAAGGGAATGGCATGAAGCTGTGTCAGGCGAGAGTTAGGGTGGATATTAGGAAAAGCTTCTTCTCCTGGAGGGTCATTGGGCACTGGAACTGGCTCATGAGGGCAGTGGTCATGGCACCATCCTGCCAAAGTTCAAGAAGCATTTGGACAATGTTCTCAGGCACATGGTATGATTCTTGGGATTGTCCTGTGCAGACACAGGAGTTGGACTTGATAATCCTTGCGGGTCCCTTCCAACTCAGGAGAATCTATGATTCTAAACTACATATTAATGACCCTAAACTTTGATCTCTCTTGGTCAACACAATTTTGATGAGTATCTCTCTGTCAGTGAGAAACTCAGATATTCACTGTGTTCCTCCTACACACCTGTGGACTTCAGCAGAAAGTCAGCCAAAGGTATAAAGAAGCATTGGATTAAGAAAAGGAAATGGGTCAGATTAGAACCCAACAGCTAATAGGCTTTAGAATAATAGAATGGTTTTGGTTGGAAGGAACCTTAAAGATCATCTAGTTCCAACTCCCCTGCCATGGGCAGGGACACCTTCCACTAGCCCAGGTTGCTCCAAGCCCCATCCAACCCGGACTTGAACACTGCCAGGGATGGAGCAGCCACAGCTTCTCTGGGCAACCTATGCCAGTGTCTCACCACTCACAGTAAAGAATTCCTTCCATAGATTTCTTATTTTAACTAAAACAGCCTGTCTCCATTTCTGTGTAGACAAAGCAAGTAAAAAAAGACCATCGAGATGTGCTGTTTTGCACTTGACTTTCCTTTCTTATGCTAGCTGTATGCTTCTAATGCCCATTTTACATACTGACCTCCTTGTGAAGTCCTTCTAATACAGGATAAGCCTACACTGAAAAATATACTACAGAGATAGCTAGATGGAAAAAAAAAAATCAAAATAGCACTCAGGTAAATTTCAGTTGAAAACAGTTTGGAAGAAAAAAAATTTTAAAACTTTCCTGATTAAGATGTTTAGGATTGGTTGTTGTTTATTTTCCTTTCCTTTTTCTACAAACATATCTAAGCTTTATTTCAGCAGTCAGAATGCAATAGAATGTTTCATTTCAATTTTGCACTTTAATTTTGCTTCAGTTGTTGGAAATCAAATGAAACTAATTATCTAGTTTTGGAGTGTCTGGATTTTGTGCTTTCTGATTGTTCTGCTCCTCTTTTTCCCCAGAAAGGTGGTTAACACTCCATTTGTATATTTATTAATATTTTCCAATGGGAAAAACCTGGAGTGCAGTAAACTAATCTGAGAAAGCATATTTTCCCCCACACTTCTGCACATATGTTATGATTTATCTTTTCTGCTCTGCAAAAGGGTGACAAGTATGGAGAATTTCCCACCCTCCAGATGATCAAAGACAGAAAAAGAAGAATTGCTTTTCATGACATACTGTAGATTTTTATTTGCAATAGAAATCAAAACAATGTAAAATACTAAGTCCAGATAAACTGGAAACCTTATTTTTCTGTTGAAACACATTAGGTTTCATCTGCATTTTCTGACTGGGGAAATAATCAATTGATTGCCAGTTTCTCACCCCATCAAATTTTCCAATTGAAATCTGCCAACTGCAGCATCATGCTCATAAACAGTCCCTGATTTATTTCTTTCTCATTATTTTTCAGATATGTAATTCAAAATTGGTAGGATATTTGTGTACACAGATTTTAGACAACGGATTCCTCTGTTTCAGACTGATAACTCAGCTAGCTGATCTCTAAACACCTCTTTACATACATAGGGAAAACTTAATTACATATTAACTGCTATATGCACTTGCAATTTGTACTGGAGAGTTGTTCATGTAAACTACGGATCTTTGACTGTGTTTCCTGATGGTATCATAGAATCATGGAATGGTTTGGATTGGAAGTGACCTTAAAGATCATCTAGTTCCAACTCATCTGCCATGGGCAGGGACACCTTCCACTAAACCAGGTTGCACAGAGCTCACAGGGACACCTTCCAATAAACCAGGTTGCACAGAGCTCACCCCAGCCTGGCCTTGAACACTGCCAGGGATGGGGCAGTCACAACTTACAAACCATTTTAGACAAGCAAGAAGATTAACGGATCTTTGACTGTGTTTCCTGATGGTATCATAGAATCATGGAATGGTTTGGATTGGAAGTGACCTTAAAGATCATCTAGTTCCAACTCATCTGCCATGGGCAGGGACACCTTCCAATAAACCAGGTTGCACAGAGCTCACCCCAGCCTGGCCTTGAACGCTGCCAGGGATGGGGCAGCCACAACTTACAAACCATTTTAGATAAGCAAGAAGATTAATTTTTTTTTGCTAACAACTTATCCATGATCATTGATAATTTTCATATGTTACTGTACCACAAAAGAAAAAAATCTTCAGCAAAAAGGCACAAATTCTTCCAGAAGGATCATATGTGCAAATATTTATGGGAATAAATGTTCAGTAATCTGTTACTTCCCATAAACCTTCCTGCAAACAGTAACTCACCTGTGTGAGTGCTTGCAAATTAAAGAGGATTACAGAACACCAAAAAAGGAGTTTGACAGGTAAAACAAATTGTAATTTCTTTTTCCAGTCCGAGGATTACAGAACACCAAAAAAGGAGTCTGACAGGTAAAACAAATTGTAATTCGTTTTTCCAGTCCTTTTTTTTTTTATTGCTCACCTCTGTTGGTGTAAGTCTGGGAAACACAGACTTCATGACTTTGCAGAGCTTTCTCTCAGTATGCTCAGTCTTTAAGTTAGAAAGAGATAGAATGGAAAGGATTTGGATCACCACCCCAAATCCTCCTATTGTTGGCAAATCATACTGGGGGAGCAGAAAGACACATTGCAGAATGCAGAAATGAGGAAAAAAAAGCCCCTCGTAAACCATCCTGGTTAGGAACTTACTGGTGAGGTGAGGAGGAGAAAACAAGCTGGCAGGTCCTGTGGAGCCAGGAGTCTAATACACGATAAAAGCACTGGGCTTAATCCTGTCTGTGCATGGTCAAGGTTACAAGATCATTTCTACACTGGCTTCTCCCTTCGCGGCTCTGGTGTTATCTCGCAAGGTTTACTCCCTGCCAGACTGGAAAACAAGGTAATTCCAGGCCGAGTTGAGTGGAAGATTGAACCATAGTGTCATCTAGCGGACAAAGAACTTAGTTTACTAGTTTTTTTAAGAAAAAGAAATACTGGGCCAGATTCTTCTATCCCAAACCTAACAAACCATCTTGTTGAACTCAGGGTTGTGTTTCACATCACTGCAAAGTCAACCGGAGTTTCCAATTCCAAAAGGCCAAGTGCTCTCATGGTAAAAATTTTACAAAACAATTGTTTGTTCCAACTTACTTAAGAGGAATACAAAATCCCATACTAACATGAAGGTTAAATACTAGAAAGCTGATTTGGGGTTTGTTGCTGGTTTTTTCCTGTTAAGTAGCTATCATAATTTGTTTTCTACAACTATGTCTAAAGTGCATTATTACCACATCCTGCAACTGAAACCAAACCTCAAGCCCCTCCACTGAATCAAAGAAGTCTGATGATTACATACAGAGAAAGATCTGTTCACCCTGGACCTCTTGGAGCTCTACAAGTACTTAAACTTTTCTAAATTTACTTATCTCACTACTATTTAGGAATATTCTTGTTTAAAAGGACAGACATTTAAAAACTGAAATGTGACAAGAAGCAACACTTGTTTTTAAAACTGTGGTGAACATATATGGATGCCTTAAAATTCTATTCTGCATTTTTCATGTTGCACCTCCAAGACAATTTACAAACCTGAGCTTTTGCCTACAGCTGGCATTTCCTTCTAGAGTAGCATCTGTTTACATAACTGTGTGTTTATTGTCAAAATATGGTGGCAATGTTCAAAAAAATACATTCATATTAATGTTAGAAATTGTATTCTAAGAAGGGGGAGGTTCTAGCAAGATAATAAAAGTAATTTGGGGGCAGAAAATATCTATATTGAAACAGAAGAGGAAAAAACAACATGCCTTTATAAAAATGCATGACTTCAAGTAAAGTTAGCTGCTTTTTAAATTGAAATTTAAACTATTGGTTGAAGTAAATTCATTGAAGCTGAAGCCTAAACATAAACATGCATCTCAGCCCTAGAAGCAATAAAACATACTTTCATTTGCTAACACTCAACATCCAGTGCATATTAATCAGCCAGAACAAGGGAAGTTCAGCAAGACTGAGGAGGAGTTTGGGAGCACATAAACTGATCTTAAAAGCTGGCTTTGGCTTTTGAATATCAATCATTATTACAAGCTAAAGTTCATCTCCTATGCAGATAAACTTACATACATTCTTCAAACCAGCCACAACTGAACAATCAATACTTCACAACAACTTATTTCTAAGCTGCAAGAAGACTGCTGATAGGGAAGATTGAAGGCAAGAAAGCAAAGAGAACCTGCTTCTCCCTGTGCAGTTAAGTCTGCTTACCATCCCTCTTGGACAGAGGCACCCAGATACGCAGCCATGGCTGATGCACTCCAAGTCATAGTTCTGGCAAGTCTTGGCACACTCCAATCCTTCTGCTCTTGGGTTGTTTGCAGGACAGATAAATCTCTCCATGGGGAATCTGCATGTCAAACTCCTTTTTACTTTGAAAAATAAGTTTACAAAAATTGCAATTAGAATTCCAGTATTGTTAACACAGTATTTTTCTAAAAGGTGAATCAACATTTTTATTAGGAAATTAATTCAGAATGTAGCCTGAGGCAACACCATGACACATGTCCTAGTAAAGGAAACAGTCCCTACTTCCTATGAAGTGACCTCAGTCAGGCTGTCACAAAAGCAGGTATTCTAATACAGAAGCAAAACAACTGCACTAAACATAACAGTGCAATTCCAGATTGCACTAGGGCTACAGAAACACCTGCAGGCAATGTGCACTAACCATGTCAGCACAAAACTGATGTTCTGAGAAGCAACAGCATTGTATGTTATTGTGTTTAGACCCACTTCCCACACTGAATATAACTACACTGGTGACTATAAATAATGTTGCCCTTAGCTTAAATACAAACTCTTTGAGACTTCAGATTCTAACACAAGATCACAATGACCCAAGAAATTCCAGGTTGTCATTTCGAGCAGTACTAGCAATATGCCTGTCTGAGGACTGGGTAAGTCTTAACACCCTAATATCAGGAAAAGTATGTCTTAACAGCATTGAAGAGTTTGGTGGGATATACACCTAGGAGGCTTCACCTGAAGAACAGGTAGGCCAACCAGTGACACTGTCTACCAAGGAACATTAAGCAGGTCACTACCTTGTACCTACAGTTGGATTTACAGTGCTTTCCATTAGCAGCTCGGCCACAAGGATGCCTGGTAGTTTATCAGAAGAAGCAAAGACAAACAAGAATCTTTTGTCTCCAAGGCACTAGCAAATATCAACCAAAATGTTTCTCCAAACACCGTGGAGAGGTGCATTTGGCAGTGTGCTACCGAAAATACCATGTTTGATGTTACTGCTGGTGTTCACACAGGGATCACAGCATCACAGAATATCCTGAGTTGGAAGGGACCCACAAGGACCACCAAAGTTCAGCTCCGGAATATCCCCAGGTCTCCACAAATCCCCACTAGCCCTGTCCCCTCTGAGATTCATCCAGTCTCAAACCCCATCTCCCATCACAATCCCATAAGCTCCATCCATGTCCCAGTAGGAAACCTCAAAAAACCCAGAGCACTGCTGTCCTTTCTCCAGTGCAGTGCCCATCTCTGCGAGGCAGCTGTCAGTCTCCAGGAGGTTTTGTGGGGAGATGCCTGCTGGCTGGAAGGCACACTCAGTGCCTTGCAGCAGTCTAACCTTCAGGCCACAAAAAGCTTCATTTGCATCAGAAAGGAGAGTTTGCAATATGCTTGTCAGAAGTAGGAGGTACAGAGCTGGCTAGTTACTGATGGCATGTGATCCTCAAATAGCAACTGGGGGCCCCAGATCACTGCCAAGGGATCCTTTAACCTCTTCAGCTCAAGAGAGACTGCAATAGGTAATTATAGTGAGACTCAATGAGTCTCTCTCACAAACATTTTGCTTCTATCCTATAATAAAAAGAGATTAGAAAAAGGCTAACAACATCACCAGCCATTGCAACCTCTGGTACTCCTTCCTTATTCTGCATTACTAAGACTGAAGAGAGGAAAAATAAAATAAATCAGAAAAAAATATTAGCTTTTTTAAGGCATACTAACTTCTGGCAGATGGTCTCTTGTCAGCAAAAACACTGGGCAGGAAGGCACCAGGAACTCTGTTCGTACTGCAGTGCATGAAACCATTTTCACAATAGCTAAGAAAAACAAATAGAGCTTATATTTAATGAAATGACATTTAGCTTTCACTCACGCTGTGGTTTTCAGACAACGGGGAACTTGTCAGAGTACCAAAGTTACACCTCTCATTAGGGCTGATCTGTTGCTCTCCACCCACTGTGACTGTCAACCTCAAAGGAAACCCTCCTTAAGAGAGTTGGTGTGATGTGTTAGCATGATAACCCAGCTGCCTGCAAGCCCTGTCCCTGCTGGATCCAATGTATCTGCACAGGGATAAAGCTGAGAAAGATAACAGTCAGCTTTGCTGTGAAAAAAAGGTAAGGGACTACTTGAAACAAGGCTTTTGTGGTACAGGGGAAAAGGAGACAACACCATTCCCAAATCTCAGCTTGCCAGGAGCTGCACAACAATTGGATTCCCACTCTCAGTGAACCACTATTCAACTATTAGAAATGCATTTTAATATCTGTATCTTTGATAGAGGTAATTGGGTTTTAATGTTTAAGAAATGTATCCCAGTGCATTAAAGTGACATTTTAAAAGCCTGCAAAGTAGCTATTGTCAGTAATTAAACTCCATTTCCAACTGGCAGGAACTGTTCATAGAACAGGGCTTAACTCTGCTTTCTGACTAAGGTGGCATTTGAAATTATGTGGATAGAGAGGCAACAGCAAAACTCACCATTTGGTTTGCTGGAGACAAAAATGTTGCCCTTTTTTAAAGGAGTTTCAGTGGAGGCACAGGAACTAAACCAGTTAACCACTCAAGCTATCCAAATATTTGAGTCATTTCATGAAAGGCCAAGTTATGAACACTGCACTTACCACATGGTATAATGATCTGAGAAGATATCTTCAGGCTGGAAGATCTCACCATCATAGTAACAAGAGCAGTGTGCCTTGGGCACACACTGCTCACGCTCATCCAGGTAGTGCCCAGGGGGACAGTAACAGCCTTCCACGCACTGTTCATCACAGTCCTCATCCGGGTAGGACAGAGATCTGCAGGTTTGGTTGCACGGCGTCCCACACTGCTGGTACACTTGGCCTTCAGGACAGGCCATTGCTGTTGAAAGACAAGCACATGAGGAAGACTGGCATTTGATCCAAAGCCATCTAAAGGAAAAGCTGCCTAAGCCAGACTGGAAAGCCTGGGATTAAAAAGGTATTTACTCAATTTACTCATCAATGGAGGCCTGTATTAAACTGTCTCTCCTTACCTCTGCAGCACCAGTAAAGCCCAGGGCACTGTTTATATAAACAAGAATGAAACATTACTACATGCAGTTTCCAATAAATGTAGGGAGTGGACTGCAACCCCTGAGATGGAAATCCATCCACAAAATTTCATCCAGAACAAGAAGCATGAGTCCTGTCCAACCTCTATTATTAGTTGGATCACAGTCAGGATAACTTAATTGCAGCCTTCCAGTACCTGAAGGAGCCTATGAAAAAGGAGAGACTATTTACAAGGGCCTGGAGTGACAGGAGAAGGGGAGATGGCTTCAAACTGTCATACAGGAGGTTTAGATTGGATATTAGGAAGAAATTTTTCCCTGTGAGAGTGGTGAGGCACTGGCACAGGTTGCCCAGAGAAGCTGTGGATGCTCCATCCCTGAAAGTGTTCAAGGCCAGGTTGGATGGAGCTCTGAGCAACCTGTTCTAGTAGAAGGTGTCCCTGCCCATGGCAGGGGATTGGAACTAGATGATCTTTAAGGCTCTTCCAATCCAGGCCATTTTATGATTGTACAAGTCAGGAGCATTGCAAGTGTCATGTGCACATTCTTATTTCTCTTCCTTTGTAACATGGTTAGGGACAATATGGTCAAAATAAGTAGAAAAGTAGGTTTCTGCCTTGATAAGAAGGTGCTGTGATACTTCACAGACTCTCAGAAGTGCTCAGGGATTTCTATGCAAACAGATTGAAATAATGATGTTATTTAGTGATCATGGATCCAAACCTTGGGTACTAACGATTTTTGATGAATAATTCATTTTCATGGGGATTAATTATGGCCTTTGGAGCCCTTTTGGCTTCTTTATTTATGAAACTTCCACTTCTACAGTGCTCATTTTGAGGCATTCACCTCTGCACACATCAGCATCAGCACTAGGTGGCAGCTATGACAACACATTGCAGAAGACAAGGAAAACAACGTTGTCAAGGGCTTTAATTTCACAGGCCTCCTGATAACCAGGATCTACAAAACTTGTCGCTTGTAGCAACTTTCCACATCAAATGGTCAGAGTTGTAAGGTGATTAGACAGGATGTTCAGCAGAGTGAGGGAAGCAGCTGCAAATAAAAGTTGGCACATTTGCACCTTGCAAAAACCATGATCAAAGGGTGACAGAGAAAGCTCTTCCTCTTGTTCATCCCTGGAGAATGATTCAATAACCCCTACCCTCCGTTCCATGAGCACACAACCCTGGGAACTGTAGCAGCCACGGCAGTAAAACGATAGTTAGGCAACAGGCCTGCAGGCTTAAGCTGCTGCTAGCTGGGCTAGCAAAACAAGGGCGACAGGCTAACCAATATCTCCTGCCTACCTTCACAAAATTGTTCTGAAATGAAAAATTACTTCTGCTTACTGAAGAGAGACATGGTTGCACCAACATCTCCACAGCCACTGTTGAGATTCCTGCAGTCCCATACACAGGACCGTAAGAGGATCCCTAACTTGAGGATCAAGCCCAGAGGCATCTAAGGAGACTTGAAGTCTTCTTGAAAGCAAAGATCTCCCAAGTCTGGGACTTGAAGCCCAAACTGTTTCATGTTCACTTCACAACACAGCCCAAAAAAATGTATGTGTGTTCACCTACACAGCAGGCAGAGTAAGTGCTTCCTAACTCAAAACCAAGTAGATGATAGGTTTACTCACAGCCATAAGAGTCTTTGGCAACCATTCACAGAAACGTGCTAATAATCTACATAAACATGATCTCTGCAGTAAATCAAATACTAAATGAGTAGAGCCCAGGGCTGAGGATCATTTTTAAAATAACTTTCATCACTACAGGCATGTACAAGCAAGAAAACCATGAGGCCTCAGCCATGAATCTCTGAAACACAGAACTGGACTGGCAGATTTCAGGCAGGTACATCAGTTTACTAGAGTTTCAAGTTTGAAAAAAAAGACAGGATAAAAATGAGCCCAATATCCTGTCCTACTTTCTAATCAGAGGTAACACACCCTGCCCACAGGGAAAACTTTGCAGTGGATCCTTTCCTTGGATCAAGCATTGCAACTCATGTGGGGGGATGGCTTCATGTTGAAATAGAGTAGGTTTAGATGAGATATTAGGAACAAATTCTTTACTGTGAGGGTGGTGAGACTCAGGCACAGGCTGCCCAGAGAAGCTGTGGACAGTCCATCCCTGGAAATGTTCCAGGCCAGGTTGCATGGGACTTTGAGCAACCTGGTCTAGTGGAAGGTGTCCCTGCCTATAGCATAGAGGGGTAAGAACTAGATAATCTTTATGGCCCCTTCAAACCCAAATCATTCTACGATTCTATGATTTTACTTGCCCATGCAACTCCTAAGATTTTATAAATATCCCATTATTCCAGTTATGATACCCAATGCCATGCTTACATACACTCCGAGTCCCAATATACACCGTTCCATCACCTCCCGGCAACATCTGTTTTTAACAGCAAAAAGGCAAGGCAACTGACCTGGGAGGGGACTGCTGTCTGTACACTGTGTAATACACTCTCACTAAAAAAAACCCCATCCCATTATTGCCAGGAAAATGAGAGGAAAAGGCGAGGTGCATCTAGTCTCTGCAGATGCCTGCATAAAACCAAAACAGCCCAATGCTGTGCTCTGAAGCACAGTCTATCCCAGGAATAAGATGGAAAACAGTGGGAAAGGATTAGAAAAATGTGGATGCATCAGACAGCTCACGCAGCCTTTGCGGGTGGGTTTTCAACATGGAGTGATAGAGGCATATACCCTGATCAGTTTCTTGGATAACGAAAGGTGAAACTGTTGTCATACCTAGGTCAGAGACTCTAGGTGAAGGTGGACCCTGTCAGGACACTGATTCAACACAGCTGCTCCACCATGCAATGTGGTCACCCTCAAATGCTGCTCAGAACCTCCCCTTCATTCCCCACTCCAGCACTCTTGGATTTATACTATGCAACTCCTCTTGGAGAAGCCATGCAATGACAACTGCCACAGCACTACCACATTAAGGAAAATAGTGGGCTTATCAACTAGTCCCAAGAACTGAAGAAATATCTAGGAACCTGTTGTCTGTATACCCTTTGCCACAGAACAATACACACATACATATAGACACATATGAGACAGAGAATCATAAAATCATTTAGGCTGGGAAAGACCCTTAAGACCATTGACTACAGTCATTAACCTAACATTGCTGAGTTCACCACTAAACCATGTCCCAGAGCACTACATCGGCACACCCTTTAAATACCTCCAGGGTTGGTGACTCAACCACATCCCTGGGCAGCCTGTTCCAATGCTCGATAACTTTTTCTGTGAACAATTTTTCATAACATCCAATCTAAATCTCCCCTGGTGCAACTTGAAGCCATTTCCTCTTGTCCTATGCCTAGTTGCCTGGGAAAAGAGGCCAACCACCACCTGGCTACAACCTCCTGTCAGGTAGTTGTGAAAGATATGGTCTCTCCTGAGCCTCCTCTTTTACTTGCAAACTATCTTATGCAATTATTTCTGCCAAGTTTATGTTTAGTCTTGACTTAGTATCACCTAATATAAGCTCTCCTTTGACCCTGCATTTCTCAAAATTAGGCAGAAGGCAGTAACAGGATGCCAGGAATAGCACAAAAAGCAGCTCTTCCCCTCTCTTGTTTCGTAAGCTGAAAAAAAATTGTAGCCAAATGAAATACAAACCACAGGTTGGGAAGCACTGCCTTAGTTGTTCTTTTTTGCCTGATATATTTTTAAAGATGACTTGACTTTTCTTGCACTCTTTGCTTTGTTGCTCTAAATATCAGGTCCTTTCCCACTGGGCAGCTTTCTAGCCACTCTACCCCAAGCCTGTGGCACTGCAGGTGGTTGTGACCCAAGGGCAGGACCCAGCACTTGGTCTTATTGAACCTCATCCCAGTGGCCTCAGCCCATCAATCCAGCCTGTCCAGATCCCTCTGCAGAACCTTCCTACGCTCCAGCAGATCAACACTGCTGCACAACTTGGTGTCATCTGCAAACTAACTGAGGATGCACTCAATTCCCTTGTCCACATAACTGATAAAAATATCAAATAAAACTGGCCCCAGTACTTGGCTCTTGAGAACACCACTTGTGAATGGCCACGAGCTGGATTTAACTCCATTCACCATCACTCCCTGGGCCTAGATATCCACCCTGGCTTCTACATGCAGGTAGGAGCATGAGAGACACTGCCCTTCACAGTATGGCCTCTCTTCCCATGCAGCACGAAGGGACTGGCTCTGGTGCTTACTCATGGTAGTCTACAGGGCTATGAGTCAGCTCTTAAACAATCAAACTGCAACTAAAATAATTTCAAAGATATGGGAGTTGAATGCACTTGTTAGCTTGACACACAGCAGAACTGCTGTGCTACACTAATGACTTTCCTCCCTGACACTTATCCACTTCAAATCAAGCAAACTAGTTCTGTCAAGTCATTTCCCAAGAAACCAAATCTCTGTGGACCAAGGCAGGAGTGGAGCACACATTCAGTGCACTGGGCCATCAGCACAAATTATGCAACCTGTGCATTCATATCTCAAGGCCATTAAAAGAGGGATTGCTCTCCTTCGTGTGACAGGAGACATCTAGGGCATCAGGATTATTTAATGGGGGCTGATGGATTTGCAATCAGGGAAATCATCACTTTGTGAGAGCATAAAGCTCTCTGTAATGCACAGAAAGGAAGGAGCAGCTCTGCACTATTAAAGATTAATTGTGAAAATTGACTTGTTCAATTACAGAAAGGATGGCGCATTATTGCTGCTCTTTCTTTCAGCCTCCAGACCTGCAGAGTTTTAAAAGGATTTTTATTACATTACTGTTCCACTATCTGAACATTTACATAAATTAGGTAAAATGTTTTGAAATCATGCAGCAGTTTAACATAAACTGGTTTTGTTCTCATTCACAGTAAGTACTCTCCAGCCTGCAGGAGCTGGAGTCACTGACCTTACAGGTACAGTACCTAACAGGTGGAAGCCCAGTGACCTCTCCTTCTCTTTCTTTTCCAGTGTCTACACATTCACTTTATATTTTCCCCATCCTCTGTTTGGGAAGAAGTAGCAGAACAGATCTGGAGAGCTGCCAAGCACACATGCTTTTTCCCAAAATTTTCAATTGTCTTCTTTCCTTAGTAACAAAGTTACTCAGGAAAATGGAAAATATCTACTTCACAAATATTTATGGGGAAAAATGTGTTCATGCTCAATCAAAACTGCATTGCAATGGATTTTTTCCTACCACATTGACCTAGCAGAAAAAGCAAAGAAATAAAAGGTGGTGGCTTCTCCTGCTCTTGTCTCTTAGCAGTTTGGCTATTAATCTTGCGTTGGATGATGATACAGTTAGATAAGAGAAAGAAAAATGTCAGAGAGGTTATGGGATCTCCATCCTTGGAGATATTCAAAACTTGTCTGGGAAGACCTAAGGCAATCTACTGTAAATTAGCCCTGCTATGTGCAGGAGTGGTACCACAAGCTGCCAAATTCCCTTCTGCTCTAAGTTTGTCTTGACCAAGTACCTGCCTTTGTGCTTCCTCCATACCCTCATGTTCAGCTAAATTCAGGAGTCACTGTTGAGGTCAGGATCTGGGAAGCTTGGGCCTCAGAAGAAGGCAATTCCTACATTACTACAAATCACTTGGAGATTCCTACCCTGGGATATTTAGAAAGTTTTCAGGTGAGTAGCCGAAACTTAAATAGAGCTGAAAATGGAAATCCAGTCAGAAGTTCTGCAGACGTAAGTCATATGGCTCCTTCTCTCCTCTAGTGCTGAGGAGTCTCTGGGAACAAACAGGTTTTGCATCCTTACTAGTGTGGAAGAAAGACACACTCTCTCATTGTTTGCCATAAGAAGTAATTGGCACCCTGCTGAAATAGACTCATACTAGATTTCTCATCCAGCATTGCCAGAAAAATTCCTTCAAGACAAGGGAATTTAGTGGGGTTTAGCAGCATTTCACTTACGGCAGAAGTCAGGATCTCTCCACTGGACCAGGATGCTCTTCCTAGCACAGGCTGCTGCGTAATTAGCAATAGCAGAGCACAGACAATCCTTGCCACTGGAGCAGGAACAAACATCAAAGCGGCAGTTCTTCACATACGGAGCGGGACTGACTTCATGGTGACAGGGCTCAAACGCAGAAGCCATCAGAACTGAGCAGGATTCCTCTGCGTATTTGGCTAAGAAGAGAAAAAAATTACATGCTTGCACTGAATCAATTGGTGGCTTTCAAGAAAAGCTAGAAGAGCCACAGTAAGCTTTTTCTTTTCCTTTTATAAAAGAAACCAATGAAAACCCCAAAAAAAACCCCAAACCACATGGAAGAATAGAACGGAATCAAGCAGGCACAGATAGCATCACAGCTCATATGTCACAAGCTCTACTGAAAGAATAATGTTTCACTAGTAACACAAATCAAGGAAAAGCAATGCTTTCATATTCTGTTACTGCTATTTCTGGTGCTGTACTTCCTTTTACAGGGCCTCTGCTTTCTGCTGCTTTTTATATTTGAAAAATTAATCCTTCTGGGCCATACTACATTCAGGAATCACCAATGCCTGCCCTGATCTACAGCCATAACCTTTTTTCTGTGCTTGCTTCTCCCAGAAATCAGTTTGCTGTAACACCTGGGACAAGAAAATTCCTCTGAGATTTCTCCCCATGTCCAACCAGGACAGCCAAGCAGTGTGGAGGGAAAAAAGAAGGCTGACTGTAGGGATGCAGTTAAAGAAGGGAAACAAGGAAACAGGAAAAGTATATAAGCCCTAAGCACAGAGCAATGAACAAGAGGTGTTTTCTCCATCCAGAGGATACATATGGTATTGCTCACACTTGCAAGAGTAGTTTCAGTGGCACAAGTGTGCTGTGGCTGTGATGGTCTAACTCTATGGTCCAAATTGATCAGCAGAACGATCCCACATTACTGATTTTTGTTTTCAATTTTCACAAAATATTGTTTTCCTTAGGAAACCTGCATCAATTGGAACTTCTGTGGTTTGGGGGTTTTTTGTTGTTTGCTGTGGTTGTTTTAAACATATATTACAGCCACCCTGCTGGTAATGTAAGCAACATTAGCTTCTCCTTTTTCTTTATTTTATTTTTTTATTTTTAACTTTTATTGTAGCTTCTTCTCTTGTTCCTTCTTTTTCTTTTATAATATTTTTTAATGTCAATGGAAGAATGGATAGAGTTCAGTACCTAAACGAGGATTGAGATTGCAGGGGTCGCTGTCTTGTTTTATCAAGTCTTGGCAGTCTGCATTGAGCTTCCAGGAGTTTCCAAAATTTTCCAGAAGAGATTCCACCATGCCAGAAGGTGTAAGAAAATCATCCCCTTGGTTACCATTGTAATTTCCACACAGCCCACACATCCTTTCGGAATAGACTGGAGACAGCTATGGAAGACAACATTAGCCTGGTCATCCTCCAGAACAGGTCACTACTATACAGCAAGATTTTTTAAAGAATGAACCATACACAATTTAACAATCAAGAAAATTCTCAAATACACATTCATATACCATAGGCACAATGTCGCTGTACTACATTTTCAAACTTTTAACAAAATGCTACTATTAGTAGCAGCAGGACAATTTTTGCACAGTGTAGTGATCATTTCAGATGGTAACTGAAGTTGACTGGGAGTAAAACAGCTTATTTTTAAGAATGAACCATACACAATTTAACAATCAAGAAAATTCTCAAATACACATTCATATACCATAGGCACAATGTCGCTGTACTACATTTTCAAACTTTTAACAAAATGCTACTATTAGTAGCAGCAGGACAATTTTTGCACAGTGTAGTGATCATTTCAGATGGTAACTGAAGTTGACTGGGAGTAAAACAGCTTATTTTTGTGCCTTGATCTCCAGTTTAG